TTTATTGCGTTTAATAGCTTTTAATAGGTGTTTAAGTTATTTTTTAGCAAGCTACCATATAAGGAGATGTAATCGTCATAGAAAGTACAGAGCAAGAAAAGAGAGTTTGATAATAAAGAAAAACTTTCGTAGATTATTCGTTTGGTTGTCTCTTGCATCTGTGTGTTGATACCTTAACAAATTGGTATCAGAGCTATGGAAAGGGGGAGTGATATGGCACTACCTAAGTTGACGAAGGAGAACTACGAGAATTGGTGCATCCAGATGAAGGCTCTTCTCGGATCCCAGGACGCTTGGGAGAATGTTCAAGCAGGTTTTGTAGAACCACAGGACACTGGAGGCTATTCGGCGGCTCAAACTAAAACGTTGAAAGAGACGCGTGCAAAGGACAAGCTGGCGTTATTCATGCTCTTCCGAGCTGTGGACGAATCCGGGTTCGAGAAGATAGCAAATTGTGAGACCTCAAAGGCAGCCTGGGACACCTTGGCAAATGTCTATAGAGGAGCTGACCGGGTTAAACAAGTCCGGCTTCAAACCCTTCGTGCCGAGTTGGAGGGAATAAAGATGAAGGACACGGAAGGAGTATCCGGGTTCGTTGCCCGGGTTCAGGGAGTTGTGAACCAGTTGAAACGGAATGGAGAAGTTATACCTGACACCAGAGTGGTGGAGAAAATCCTGAGATCTTTGACAGACCAGTTCGAAAACGTGGTTTGTGCGATAGAGGAGTCCAAGGATCTGTCTACACTCACTATTGATGAGTTGGCGGGTTCTCTTGAAGCGCATGAACAAAGAAAGAAGAAGAAGGAGGAGACTCTTGAACAAGCGCTTCAGACCAAAGCAACAATTAAAGATGAGAAGGTTCTCTATTCTCAAAACTTTCGAGGTAGAGGACATGGCCGCGGTGGACGAGGTACTAGCCGTGGTGGTAGGGGCCGAGGCCGAAGTCAAGAAGGTTGTAATGATGAGGTAGGACAATCAAGTCAACAGAACTGGCGTGGAAGAGGACGGGGTCGTCGAGGAGGTCGGTCACATTATTCAAACATTGAATGCTACAAGTGTGGCAAGTATGGTCACTATTCAAAAGATTGTAACTCGGACAAATGTTACAATTGTGGCAAGGTTGGACATTTTGCAAGAGAATGCAGAGAAGAGAAAAGGGTGGAGGAGACATCTAACCTAGCCACAGAAGGCGAGATGAAGGATGGTGTCTTGTTAATGACACACAGTGAAGGAAGGTCAGACGATGACATGGAGTGGTATCTTGACACGGGTGCGAGCAACCACATGTGCGGACATAAGCACTTATTCAAGGAGATGAGAAAGGTGGAAACCGGACATGTTTCATTCGGGGATGCCTCGAAGGTTGAGGTAAAAGGCCGAGGTACGATCTGTTTTTTACAAAAGGACGGGTTAGTTGGCTCAATTCGAGATGTGTACTATGTACCCGACCTAAAAAGCAATATTTTAAGCATGGGTCAATTGATGGAGAAAGGTTACTCGGTTATTATGAAAGACCGGGTATTGTATTTGAAAGATGAGCGAGGTCGGGTGATAGTCCGAGTTCAAATGGGTAAGAATCGTATGTATAAACTGAATTTGAAATGTGTACAGGTTGAATGTTTACAAGCCGAGGTAGAAGATAAGGCGTCACTGTGGCATCTCCGGTTTGGTCACCTACATTATGGTGGTCTAACCGAGTTGGCAAAGAAGAAGATGGTGGACGGGTTACCTGACATAAACTTTGAAGGAAAATTTTGTGAGAGTTGTGTACTTGGCAAGCATGCCAGGACTACGTTTCAGAAGACGGCAAGGTTTCGGGCTAAGCAACCTCTGGAATTAATACATACCGACTTGTGTGGACCCATCAATCCGGGTTCTTTTAGCGGTAAGAAGTATTTTCTCTCTTTTATTGATGATTTCTCACGGAAAACTTGGGTCTATTTTCTGAAGGAGAAGTCCGAGGTGTTTGATGTGTTCAAAAAGTTCAAGGTGATGATTGAGAAGGCAACAGGAAGCTATATCAAATCGGTGCGTTCTGACCGAGGTGGGGAATATACCTCGACAAAATTTCTGACATTTTGTGAGGAACAGGGGATAAGGAGGTTTCTAACAGCACCATACTCACCACAACAGAACGGTGTGGCTGAAAGGAAGATGCCGAAGGAGTTTTGGGCGGAAGCTGTGCAGTGTGATGTGTATGTGCAGAACCGATGTCCACATTCGAGTTTAGATGACAAAACACCACAAGAAGCTTGGAGCGGTCAAAAGCCATCAGTGGAACATCTTAGAGTATTTGGTAGTGTGGCCTATGCACACGTACCAGACCAGCTCAGAACTAAGCTCGAGGACAAAAGCAGGAAATATGTTTTTGTGGGATATGATGAAAAAACAAAGGGGTATAAGCTGTTTGACCCCGTCAACGAGAAGGTTGTAGTGAGCCGAGATGTAAGGTTTAATGAAGCAAATGAGTGGGACTGGAGCAATTCATCCGAGGTGAATTTTGAAGGCAGAATCTCAACACAAATTATCAACCCGGCAAGCCCTGAAGTTTCTGATGATGAAGACGAGGTACGACAACCCAGGATGCGGAGCATACAGGACATATATGAGTCAACAAGTGAGGTACATTTTGTTTGTCTTCTTGCAGACTCTGAAAACATAAGTTTTGAAGAAGCCATCCGAGATAAGAAATGGCAAGATGCCATGGATGAGGAGATAGAAGCCATTGACCGAAATAACACATGGGAGTTAGCCGAGCTACCAAACGGAAGTCGGCCCATTGGAGTGAAGTGGGTGTTCAAGAAGAAGATGAATGCTAAAGGGGAGATAGAACGAAATAAAGCTCGGCTAGTTGCAAAAGGTTATAAGCAGAAGGCTGGAATTGACTATGACGAGGTGTTTGCCCCTGTTACAAGGATGGAGACAATTCGGCTACTCATCTCACAGGCTGCTCAATACAGGTGGCCAATACATCAAATGGATGTAAAGTCGGCATTTCTGAATGGTGTTCTTGAAGAAGAAGTCTATGTGGAACAACCGCCGGGCTACATGAAGGCAGGAGAAGAGAAGAAGGTGCTGAGATTGAAGAAAGCACTTTACGGGTTGAAGCAAGCACCACGGGCATGGAATGCTCGTATTGACAAATATTTCAAGGAGAATGGACTTGAACAATGTCCATATGAACATGCTGTTTATGTTAAGAAAAATAGAGGAGACTTGTTAATTGTAGCTCTTTATGTTGACGATCTCATTTTTATGGGAAACAATGCCAAGATGATACAAGAGTTCAAGAGCACAATGACAAGAGAATTCGAAATGACAGATCTTGGTCTGATGAAATATTTTCTTGGTCTGGAAGTCAGACAAGACAACTCGGGTATCTTTGTCTCTCAAGAGGCATATGCAAAGGAGATTCTCAAAAGATTTAAGATGGCAGATTGCAAGCCGGTTTCAACTCCTATGGAACCCGGTTCAAAACTCTCAAAGTATGATGGTGGAGATCTAGTTGATGCAAGCAAATACAGAAGCTTGGTGGGAAGCCTACGCTATCTCACATGCACGAGGCCGGATATCTCGTTGAGTGTCGGCGTAGTAAGTCGGTTCATGGAGGAGCCAAGATACACACATTGGAAGGCGGTAAAGAGAATTTTGAGGTATGTTCAAGGTACAATTTCACACGGGTTACACTACCCGAGTTCAGCAAAACACAAGTTGATTGGATACTCTGACAGTGATTGGTGTGGAGACGTAGATGATCGAAAGAGCACGGCTGGTTATGTGTTTTTCATGGGCAACACGGCATTCACTTGGATTTCGAAGAAGCAACCCATTGTAACCTTGTCTACCTGTGAAGCTGAATATGTAGCAGCATCTTGGTGTGTTTGTCATGCAGTATGGCTTAGGAATTTACTAAGCAAGTTGGAGGAAAAACAAGTCGGCCCAACCGAGATTCGAGTTGATAACAAGTCGGCTATAGAGTTAGCCAAGAACCCGGTGAATCATGAGAGAAGCAAGCATATTGACGTCCGATTTCACTTCATCCGGGATCAAGTAAAGGAAGGAAATGTGGAGTTAACACACGTGACCAGTCAAGAGCAAGTCGGGGACATTTTCACAAAGCCACTGCCGACGTTGCTGCTCAACAATTGCAAGAAGATGCTTGGGATGAGAGATGGAAGAAGCATTTAAGTTTATGGAGGAGTGTTATTAGATAAACTTAAATGTACGGTTTTTAGATTAATGGGTCTCTAGAAGTTTTATGTTTAGGAATTAATGTTGGTTAAGTGTTATGGGGGTTTGGTTTTGATATTTGTTAAATGGCTGTAAGTTTTCTACGGTTTATGTTTTATTGCGTTTAATAGCTTTTAATAGGTGTTTAAGTTATTTTTTAGCAAGCTACCATATAAGGAGATGTAATCGTCATAGAAAGTACAGAGCAAGAAAAGAGAGTTTGATAATAAAGAAAAACTTTCGTAGATTATTCGTTTGGTTGTCTCTTGCATCTGTGTGTTGATACCTTAACATAAATGTCAACAACTGAGGGTTTGATATTTTGGGAAAAAAATGCATTTAAGCATTTATCCTTCACTCAAAAGTAAAACCACTAAAGAGTCAATACACAGCTATACTTTGAAAACATTCCATTAACTATCTCCATAAATGGCACAGTCTAAACCGTAACGGGAAAAACAGATATCTGACCCAGCATTTCTTGCCTAAAATATATTCTCTATATTCAATTCTTACAATGTTATTTATAGATTCTGTCATAAGACAACAATATAACATGCTGACCGTTTGAGTGAATATGAAATGCTTGTGCAACGATATTATGCATCATGTTAATGTCTGCGGGCTAGAATAAATAGAAGGGGTTCATAAAGACATAAACCATAATGGAAAGAAGAATTCAAAGAAAGGCGAGCACCATACCATTGGGTATATCTTTTAAAGGAGTACCGCGACCCTGCAATTTGAAAGCAACACAGTAAAAAAAAATAAGTTTTGATATAACACACAAATAAGGCTTAATATGAAACTGAAAATAAATACCTTTTCAATGTGAAATTCTTTGGGATCTTTCTCAATTGATGCTACCAACCTCTCAACTGATTTCCTTTCACGTACAGGGCGATTGATAGAAGGAGTCCTTGGCTCAGTCTCCTTTAGTTCCTTTCTTTTCCTTTTCACCTTCTCCCCATTAATGCTTCCTTTCCCACGCTTCTTCAATCCTTTCTCAACCTTAATGTCTTCTGCCTTATCTTCTTTTGACTTATCAACCTTGTCCTCATCCTCCTCCTCTTGAATTTTCTCCTCTTCATTGCTCTCATCTTTGTCTTTAGGTATAACCTCTTCGTCCATCACATCCAATTCTGGTTTCTTAGCTTCTACAATTTCCTTCTCTTCTTTACTATCCATAGTTTCCTTAACCTCATTTTCTTCATTCAATTTGTCATTATCGAATCCATTATCATCCTTCTTATTTTCTCCTATTTCATTCACAAAATCATCTGTCTTGTCTTCTTCTATTTGTTTCATGCTCTCATCTTTCTTATCCTCTGCCATTTCTTCCACACAATCAACTTTCTTATCCTCTTTTACTTCTTCCCCACCATCAAATTTTTTATTGTCTTCTACTACTTCACCACCATCATCAACTTGCTTATCATCTTTTACTTCTTCCTCACCTTCAGCTTTCTCATCAACTTCCATTTCTTTTAAGCCATCCTCCTTCAAGTCTTTGACTCCATTATTCTCCAAGGTTTTTCCTCCCTCAGCTTCCAAGTCCTTCTTTTCACTCGTATCATCTAAAGCATTCTCTGGCATGCTATTGTCATTTGAGCCAGTTTTGGAAACTGCATTCACTGATTCTTCTTCGCCCATACTGATCTTATCTACACTAAATCTACAAATTATTTCTTCCTGCACTCTTTCTACTACACTGGCCTGGTTAACTTGTCCGGCTTGGTTAAGTTGGACAACTTAAGCCTATCATGTAAGACAAAAATACTAAGTATGAGAACATCAAACAGAAAAGTGCAAAGAGAAGCCCGAGGGATTAAGTTTCCAAAAACAAGCAGTACTTTTAACCCTAAGAATACATAAGATCCATACAAATTATTATTTTTCCTATAATGGTAGGTCATTTCAAACTGGCCTACAACTGAAAAAACAGATTATATCTGATGCCATGACAAGTTGACAACCAATTCAAATAAAAACTTCAAAATTGATCCCATCCCGAAATCAATGAAGGAGTGAAGTTTACAAACAATAAATGATGAACAGAACACTGTAGCTAGGGAGAAGGAAAATAATTAAGCTGGGAAAAAAATTCAAATTATGAATTTTCATTTTGCAATAGTTCCTGAGAAAAAAATTCAAACCATAGGCTATTTTAAACAAAAATCTCAACGGCACAGTATATTTATGGCTAAGAATAAAATTATAACCAATAAAGCTGCAAAATTTTTCAACAAGAACCATTTTCAAAGCCCTAAAGTCCCATACGACAATTCAATCCATATAGCACAAAGATGGCAACTTTTCACTTAAAAAAACAGTTAGGAAAGAGGGAAATTGAAACTTACAAATACATAAGTTGAAAGAGAACATAGCTAAACTTGGGTTTTCTCAGCGTGAAATCTCTCACTGGAGTACTAGTTAGTAACTCTGTGAGGTTATTTCTGACAATTTACAATTCGGACTTCAGATGCGGATTTTAAATGCAAAATTAAGTGCCATATAGGATCATAGGATGTGTGTCACTAAGATTCTGAATAGAAGGTGATCTGACAGTTGAGATGTCGTCTCCATGACAACGTGCGTAAGATGAACGGTTGTTGTTATGAACTCCTCTCCTTGTAATTTTGTCGTTTATTGAAACTGGCACTATACACATGGCATTAGACCACACAATTGTGGAATTATTTCAAGAAGTCTAAGTTTTTTTTTTTTTTAACTACTTCCTTCAATAGCAATAATAATAGTGTTATTTACTTCTATCACATAAATTAAAAGAATGTTATAAACTTCATACATGTCATGCTGTATTAATTTATTTCGCATCATGGTTTAATTAATAACGAGTATCTTATATTTTGACATAACAGATGCGTATGATCAAATTCAACAGACAAAATAAATTTGATCTAATTATTATTTCATGAATGAATTACCAGAAATATAATAAATATGCAATCTACATTTTAATGTAATTTTAAATACAAATTACTAAATTAATGCAAAAGCCAAATATTTTATCAAGATAATAACAACAAGCACAGAGAGTGGGTGGGTAAGTTCAAGTCAGATATGAAGGGATGCACGGTTTGCATTATTTAATTCTCATGCTCGCTTTATTGCTTACGTCATGTGACAAGTTCACATTTTACCTATGTCATGTGTAATTCGCATATTTTATGCACAATTCGAACACGTATATTCCTATCAATGTCTTATTATATTATTTTAATTAAATATTAAGAGGTGTATTGAATTAGGATTTCAAAAAAAATTAATGGATTATTTTTGGAAAAAAAATCCATTGGTATTCAATTAGTATTTTAGTAGATTGAAAAAAAGTCATGTGGTATTCGATCAGGATTTTAAAAGATTATCTTAGAGTTAGTCCAAATGTGTTGGTATTCAATCAAGATTTTAAACCATGTAAAAACAATCTTGTGGTATTCAAAAATCTAATGATTTTAATGGATTTTCTATTTGTGTGAATTTCGTGAAACTTTTAAGTAAGAAATATAAATAGGATGCCTCTCTCACAATCTCACCCTAGCCAGTAGGATTTCTTGAGATTTCTCTATTGCATTGTTTTCTTCTTCCTTTGGCAGATTGACCTGCTCGAAATCGGGTTCAGTTATAGGAGCTTCGTCAAAATTCAAAAATAGCATATTTTTTAGCGATTTTTATCACAAAACAACCCAGAAACAACAAATCAACAAGATTTAAATATAATCTATCTCAAAAATAACATATATTTTTTAGCTATTTTTGATAAATTTTGGAAGTTTAAAAACAGAATTTTCAAACTACGGGTTGCGATTTTTCTTAGCAGAAAAAGTGTAATTTTTGTAATAAAAACAACATAAAACAGTGGGAAAATAATAGGGGAACTAAAACCCTCAAACTAATTTTCTTTTTACATCAATGAAACAATATCAATTTAAAGAAAGGTTGAAACTTTCATAATATGAATCATATATTTAGTAATAATACATTCATGAACGAATTTCCTTCACTATAAGAAATGATTTCAAACAATTTTTGTGTCAATAAATAACTAAAAACTTATTTTTCAAAAGCTTCAAAGCAATTAAAGGTTTCAATGTATCGATTGAAAAAAAATTGTGAAATTTTCTAAACTTTCATGTAATAAAACTTAGTAATTTAGATTCAAAATTTTCTTAGAATATTCAATGAAAATATACATATGATATATGGTTAAAAAACTCTCATCACGTAGAACAAAAATCCCAAGGTTTTCAAGATCAACAGCAAAAAATTCCAAATGAAATTTTATCATGAACTTTACGTTCTATATGTTATTTTAATAATTAAAAAAATTTGAGTCTTATAATCATATATGCATAGTTTTGATACCAAATGAAGAAGATAATTTTCAACTCATTGGTCAAACCCAAGAGCATGAACGACAAAATACTAATGCATAAAGGACTAATATAACTTTAAATATGTGAAAAGCTGTTGCTTAGTAATTTTGAATATTTGTTAAAAATTATATTATGTTATATTGATTGAGAAAATTATATTAGGTTTTGCTTTTTTTTATTAATTTCGTTGCATTTATTTGTTATTTTTTTATGGGAAATGTTATACTTAATTACAACATATTTTTGTTTACAACCATATCTTAAATGTTGATTTTCGTCAATCAACGATTATTATTTTCACAAATCAAACTCATTAATTAATATTTAATTTCCAATGAATGATAATCGTTGATTGACAGAAATCAATGGTTAAGATATGATTGTAAAAGACTGTAAACAAAAATAAGTTGTAAGTATAACCTTCCATTTTTTTATTAACTCTTGTAATTTTGAATGTTTGTTAAAATTTCATATGGTTTTTTGAAATCTTATAAATCCATATCGTCCTTTCAAATATTATAAATTCTATTAAAATCCTTTAAAATTCGATCTTATGAAATCTTGATTGTAAGAAAAGTCTTTTAAAAAAGTTTTTAAAATTCTTCCAATTTTAAATAGTCTTTTAAAATTTATAAGATTTTTTATCTCAAAAAAAAAGTCTTTTTTTTTTTTTTATAACATTAAGGGGCGAAGCCCCAAACAAAAACAAACAAACAACCAGAAACAAAAAATAACTATCCAGGGTCTATATCCCTACAAGAAAAGATTCCCTGAAGATCGTGATCAAATAACTGAGCAAGGTGAAACGGCATAACTCTATGACTCCAGAATTCAGTATCTTTGTGAAGAGCAGACTTGGCTAACCAATCTGCACATGAATTAGCTTCTCTCTTGGAATATGAGAAAGCGTTACCTCCCAATCCTGACCGATGAGTGCTTGTATCTTAGCCACTATACGAGGCTGACAAGCTGCATTGCAATCAGCAAGCAAAGAGAATACTTCAGAAGGTGCATTAATTCGATAAAATATTTAATAAGGTGCATTAATTCGATCAAAATGACATGTGATCTAAGTTTAAAACAGTTATTATTCTAACTGACTATAGTTGTCATATTTAATATTTTATAATTTGACATTACACTGTCTTTGGACTTTGGTTTAATTGCTGGTCTTATAAGAATAAGCCCAAGTCTTTTTTCTTGGTCAAAGAAGAAGGCCAAGTAACAACGGTTAATGACCCAAAAGTCCTCCTAGGACCACTCCCCTAGTTTAATGGTCTGTGTATGGATCCATGTTTCTGCAAAAAGACTAGCTTGTGGAACAAGAAAACAAACAAATGTAACGACTAACAACCCTCCTTAAAGGGAAAAGAACCACGGGGCCATAATCTTTTTGATCCAGGTATTGTTCATACATACATGTAGAGCCCAGAGATAAAATAGAGAAGCAATCAGCATATGGGTATATATTTGTGAATACTTTCCTATTTTTTTTATTTAATTTGGTGTTTTAGAAAACAAGTTTATAATTTGTAAATGAAATAATAATTTGACTCAGATGTTCTTTTTGGTCTCTATATAATTCCTGGTTAAAATGTATCTTTGTTTTTGTTTATGAAATTTCTGCCATTAGTAATAGGTTTTAATGTTTTTACAATAATTGTAGATAAGTTTCAAAACAACGTCGTTTTGGGTTAAAAATTAAAATATTATAATGAGAAAGAATATTATAACCCTAAAATAAATTATAATTATAAAAATACCTTGATTTTCGCCTTAAAACGATATCGTTTTGAACTCAATGTAAATAATTTATCTACATTGACCGTAGAAAAAACAACTCATAATAATATATATTGAAGTAAACAAAAATACAAAAGAGGTTTCTTCCATCTTTAGTCCTAACTGGAGCCATCAGTTATGTTGAGATATATAGTCCCACATTGGTTGTATGAGCAACTAATATGGAGTTTATAAGATCTTGGGCACTCCCACCCTTTGAGCTAGCTTTTGGGGTGATGATCTCAAATTCTTTACAAGTTAAAATACTTGTCTTTCTTGTTAAGGCTGAAAATAGACTTTGTTTATTATGGGGACTTTTTTTTAGCACAGGACCTTTACTTTTAAAATATTATCAGTTTTGTACCCAATATATATAGAGTTCACTTTTTCTGCAGTTACGATAGATAAATTATCTGAAGTAAACTCAATACGACGTCATTTTTGACGGAAATTATGGTATTTTTGTAATTTTAATTTATTTCAGGGTTATTATAGTCTTTATTTAATAATCTTTCAATCCCAAAACGACGTCGTTTTAGAAGTAAATACAGATAATTTATCTGCGTTAACTGCAGAAATATTTTTCTCATATATATATATATATATGTGAAAATATTAACCTCTTGTGATATTTCTCCTACGTACTCAAAAAGACATAGGACTTACTTTAATTTTTCTTTTTCTTTTTTTCTGTATGATGACATAAGTTTGTGAATGTAATGAAATATCTTATCTTATATTGCATAAGAAAATATAATCTCACACACACACAAATATATATATATATATATATATATATATATATATATATATATATATATATTGTCAGTTTCAATGTAATTATCAAACGAGAAACTATTCTCTCTAGCCTTTTCCTTTTAGGGAGTTTTTTCAAAATAACAATATCTCAATAAATTCTTAAAAAGGGAAAAGTGCTATGGTCAAAAAGCTCCGGTTAATAAACTTTGCCGAATATGAGAGGGACTGGAAGATTTGGAAAGGAAAGGAAAAGATGAAAAAAAACAAAATATTTTGATGACAGGCACATAAAGTTCCTTTGTGGATTGGAGTCATGTCAAAAGGCGCTCAAACAAAACATCATGATACTATGTTGTGTAATGTGAAGAAAACACTAAGAAATATGAAGTTAAGCTTAAAAGATATTTGCTACCACATTATCAAAAATCTAATTTAGGTGGAAACTATACTAAACATAAAATGATTAATTAGAAGATTTAATTAAAATCAAAACTAACACATCATAGAAAAATGTCAGCTTAAGATTACAATGCCAAGTTAATAAAAGAGAACAAAATTTTGCTAAACATCAAGATTAAGAACAGTTAATGACTAAAACTTAACCTAAAATAGCAGCTTAAGATAAAAATTAGAAATACTGATCAATCACTAAGAGATTGATCTCCTAAATACGCCAACTCCTTCAATCTCAAATCTTGATATTTGGTGGATCCCATGGAAATATCAATCTCAATTAAATTTTCATCCTCATTCATCTCATTGATTTCTGCTAAGAGCTCCCTGAGACCCTGCTGATAGAAATTGGATTCCAACTTTTGATTAGGATCTTCAGTTAAACCAGAGAAGTGGCCACTTGGAAGTTTGATTTCAATCAAACCATCCTCCTCATCATCATCATTGTCAGAGGCCAAGCTATCAGATATACCTAGATTTTGAGTTCTATTGTGATCAATCTCAAAACTTTCACTTATGATTGAGTCAGTACTGCTTTCACTATCTGAAGGAAATGAAGAATCTGACTGCGGATCAGATTGTTGCTCATACATCTGAGCAGTGAGTTCAAAACTTTTGTCCATGATGTTGCTGCTTTCACTATCTAATGGAAATGAAGAACATGACTGCGCTTCAGCTTGCTGCTCCTGCCTCTCAGCAATTTCACCTTGTTGGGTAGCCTCAGTCTGAGTAACATCTCCTAATGAAGGGTGTATCTCTGATTTCTGCAGGTTATCTTGGACTAGATTTTCATGTGGGGACCCTTTTTTCTTTGTGAGTATGACAAGAAACATGGTAGATAGAAGAGTAATCAGTAGTGTAAGAAGGGAAGGAGAGAATACAGAAACTGAAAAGAAAAAGAAAACTGAAAAGAGAACAAGAACCAATAGGAAAGTGGCCATATTAGAACACAGCTTGTGACAGATTTGTTGCTTTCTTATTTCCTCCATTATCGTTGACTGGATTATACTTATTGTGTCAAAGCCAAACCAAACACAAGGATCCAATAAAGTCACACCCAACAAAGGCTGCAAGAAGTACTGTTGAAAAAGAGAAGAAGATCTATGGAAAGACTGCAGACAAGTGCCTGAAAATTTGTTCAATCTGTACTTTTTTTCTTGTCCTAAAATACAGATTGTAAGGGAGCAAAGGTAGAGAGAAATTTCAATGTGCTACAAAGGTATTTGAGGGCGCCAAAAGAGCCTTTTAAGCTAAAAGTTGATAACTTTCAGTCCCTGCCCTGCTGCCCTTTTTGTAAACTGTTGCTAAAATGTCAAAAAGGAAGATAAGGAGGGAAAGATTTTATCTCTTCAGTATGAAGAAGATTCAAAAGATCATATAGTTTCTTCTTTATCAAACCTGAAAAGGGTAAGATTTGATAAACTGATTATTGAAAGTTCAAGTTGCTTTCTACTGCTGAGCAACTCTGCTAGCAAGGAAGCAAACAGCATGCTGAAATGTTTCTTCTATTTTTCTCTGACACGAAACCTTTTGTTATTTATTATCTGCAACAGATTCTCTTGGAGATAGCAAAACTGTTTGTTTTACATCAATGTTTACAACCTCAAAGCCTTGGAATTATCGTATGCATGTGCTTCTATGAATCTGACTTCTCCCCCACACATGGCACGATACATGACCCTTCAAAACAATTTTCATGAAAGAGAAAACGATACTGTAATTAAGAAGGGCCTTGGCTTCTCCCTCTATTTTAGTCACAGCCTAACAAAAACCCCTTTACAGAAACTCAATATACCAAACAGATAGCAAAAAACTTCTCAAAACAAGACTTTTTTGTTATGGGAATTCCATTGTTCAAATACTTTCCCAGCAAACAAACGTAAGCATAGGAAATTGTAGAATTTTTTTGTAGACAAGACATCCACCACATACATAAAACAAACGTTTAAATCCATAATAGCTTTTTGCAGCAATAAAACTCGAGTGTGATAGCAAGTCAACAAAACTTTGCCCCCCCTGCAAATTTTAATAAATGAAGACATAAAAATAAGCAGTGTTTTGTAATAATGACCCATTTTCTATTGTCTACGCTCTTCAGGAAAAGCCATGAAGAAGTAATTATTGTGAAGTCCATTTCTGCGTCCGCATGTCGTGCAGGTTTTAGTGGAGTGGAGACCCATTGTGGAAGAGATCACTTGGCCATATTGTTTGTGTTGGAAATTTAGAGAAAATAAAAGAATAATAGATGAAGAAATCTCTTTGTATTTGAACTGGCTAAAAGAAAAAATTACAACACTCACGGTCACTTTGTTTTTTTCCTTCCTTAGTGCTGCAGCACTGTTCTTTCTTTTTATCTTCCTTTTTTTTTTTTCTTTCTAATACTTTATTCCACACCTAATCATACATTTATATATAGGCTAGTCTACCGACTCACTTCTAACATTATATAATATAATATTTAAACTTTTGCTATATGACAACTACTTGGACTTCTACAACTTTCCATTTTCATCTAGCAACCGACTTTTGGCTTAGAATGTTTCGGCCAGGCGGTGTAATGCATCAACTTGATATCACCATCAATAGCCATATACGGTGCAGTCTTTTAGCGGTGGAGAAATTTAGGTACCAAATGATAGAGACTTCTAGAGTGGCGGTGAATCAAAGATAAGTGGCAAAATTCAAATTTAATTTCTAACACTCCCCCTCAAATTTGACTTTGCATACCAATCATATGTTTGAGTTTGTTGAACACATCGGTCTTCAATGGCTTCGTAAAAATATCTGCCAATTGTTCTTCAGTCCTGCAGTAGACCAATTCCACAACTTTGTTTTTAACTTGCTCCCGAATAAAATGATATTTTGTGTCAATATGCTTGCTTTGGCTGTGGGAGACTGGATTCTTTGCAAGTGATATAGCAGACTTGTTATCTACGTATATAGTAATTGGACCTTCTTGCTCGTAATGAAATTCATTCAAAATATTTTTTAACCAAATCGCTTGACACGTACATGCTGCTGCGGCTATGTATTCAGCTTCGCATGATGATAGAGCAACTGTCTGTTGTTTCTTTGATGACCATGAAAATATTGCTGAGCCAATATGAAAAGCATATCCTGAAGTGCTTTTTCGATCATCTACATCTCCACTATAATCACTATCTGCATTGCCAATTAACCTTGAATCTTGGGAATGTGTATAGAATAATCCATGACTGATGGTTCCTTTGATATATCTTAAAATTCTCTTTGCTGCACTGAAATGATCTTGCTTTGGATTCTCCATATATCTGCTAATTAGACCAACTGCAAACATGATATCTGGTCGAGTGAAAGTCAAATACCTCAAGCTTCCGACCAGGCTTTTGAATAGTGTTGGGTTTACTGGTTCTCTATCTGACTCAGCTTTCAACTTCGTTCCTGCTTCTATTGGTGTTGAAATAGGCTTGCAATCTTTCATTCTGAACCTACTCAGTATTTCTTCTGCATACTTCTTTTGTAACATATAAATTCCCTCTTCTGTTTGTTTTACTTCAACTGCAAGAAAATAAGACATTTCTCCAATATCTGTCATTTCAAATTCTTTAGTCATAGCTTTCTTAAATTCAACAAACATACCTGGATTATTCCCTGTGAAGATTATATCATCCACATAAAGACATACGATCATCATATCCCCATCTTCATTCTTCTTCGTGTACAAAGCATGTTCGTACGGACTCTTCACAAATCCATTCTTATGAAAGTATTCATCTATCCTCGTGTTCCAAGCTCTTGGAGCTTGCTTCAATCCATATAGTGCCTTCTTCAACCGATAGACTTTATCTTCTTCTCCTTTTTTAACATAACCCGGTGGTTGCTCAATATAGACTTCTTCTTCTAGGTAACCATTGAGGAAGACTGATTTCACATCCATCTGGTATATCTTCCATTGCTTTTGTGCTGCAACTGCTGTAAGAAGTCTGATAGTGTCAATCCTTGCAACTGGTGCAAACACCTCATCATAATCTATTCCATATTTCTGCTTGTAGCCTTTAGCTACCAATCTTGCCTTGTATTTCTCCACTTTTCCTTCTTGATTAGTCTTTGTCTTGTACACCCACTTTACTCCGATGGGCTTATGTTTCTTAGGCGTAGTTGTAAGCTCCCACGTGTCATTTCTTTTGATTGTAGCAATTTCATCATTCATGGCTTTCTTCCACTTTTAATCTTCTACAGCTTCCTCATATGTCACTGGATCACATTCAACTATTAAACAAAATAATGAATAATCAAGGGTAGTTTGTACCGGATCTGTAGCATCATAGATATCACTTAAGCTTCTCATCTTTGCTGCTGCTCCCCCTGAATTGTTGCTACTGCTACTGCTACTGCTTCCTGAGGTTGAGGGTGTAGATGCAGGAGTTGTTGGATTAGGACTTGGTGGAGGTGTCTGATCATTGCCTGCTTCAACTGTTTGCTCTGTTGAGTTATCATCATCTTTAAAGAATAAGCCTTCTACTCTTTTTTCTTCATCATTCCATTTCCAGTAATCTGTTTCGTCAAACTCCACATCTCTTGAGATGATTACCTTTTTTTTCAGGGGATTGTATAGTCTGTAAGCTTTACTCCTCTGCTCGTAGCCAGTAAAGATTCATTTTTCTCCTTTATCATCTAACTTCTTTCTCTTCTGATCTGGAATATGGGCATATGCAATGCAACCAAAAATTCTTAGATAGCTTACCTCTGGCTTTCTACCACTCCAAGCTTCATTTGGTGTTTTGAACTTGACACTCTTTGTTGGACATCGATTCAATAGATAGGCAGCACATTGGACAGCTTCAGCCCAGAGTGTTCTTGGCAGATGCTTTTCTTTGAGCATGCTCCTTGTCATATCAAGAATTGTACGATTCTTTCTTTCTGCTATACCATTCTGTTGTGGTGTGTAGGCTGCTGTCAATTGATGAATAATTCCATGTTGCCTACAAAATTCTTCAAATAATTTGGAAGTGTATTCACCCCCTCTATCTGTTCTGAGTGTCTTCAGATACTGACTACTTTGCTTTTCTGTCATTGCTTTGAATTCTTTGAACTTTTCAAGAGCTTCTGATTTTTCTTTAAGAATATATACCCAAGCTTTTCTACTGAAATCATCAATAAAAGTAATATAATACCTGTTTCCTCCAAGAGATGGAATATCAAATGGACCAGCTATATCTGAGTGAACTAGCTGCAATGGTCTTTTTGCTCTCCATGATTTGCCAACTTCAAAGCTTTGTCTATGTTGCTTTCCTCTCATGCATCCTTCACACAGCTGATCAGGTTGATTTATCATTGGTAATCCATTTACCATCTTTGCTTTTGATAGCAGCTTCAGGCCAGTGAATCCAAGATGACCAAATATAAGATGCCATAACCACGAACTATCTTCTATGATAGTCTTCATGCACTTTATTGCACTTGTCTGGATGTTTAGTTTGAATAGACGATTTCTTGTCATATCAACTTTTGCAATCAATTCTCCTTTCTGATTTCTCATAATGAGAGAATTATTCTTCAAATGAATATCATATCCTTTTTCTAAAAGCTGACCAAGACTGAGGAGATTGCTTTTCAAAGATGGTATATAATAGACATTTGAAATATATTTTTTATCTCCATTCTTTGTGAATATCATAATCTTACCTTTGCCTTTAACTGGAATCTTTGATAGATCGCCAAATGTAACTTCTCCTTGGACTTCCTCATTCAATTCTGTGAATAACTCCTTTTTGCCACACATGTGATTACTAGCTCCGGTATCAAGGTACCAAACATCTTTCCCACTATCTTCCTCGCCTTTGTAAGTGAACAACATGGTCGGTTCATCATCTTTCTCTTCAGTTGTTGTATAATGACTTCTCTCCGCAACTCTAGCAGCATCTCTACACTCATAGCTGAGATGACCATATTTGTTGCAATTATAACACTGCAAGTGGGATTTATCACCTCTTTGTTGAAATCTTCCTCCTCCTCGGGTCACGAAACCACGACCTCGACCACGATTATTATATCCTCCTTGATCACGTCCATATGCTACAGCATCAGTCTGAAATCTTCTATTTGTTTGACTATATCCACCGCGTATGCCACGACCGCCTCGAGTGTTGAATCCACCTCGGGTGTTGAAACCTCCTCTATATCCACCATGATTTCCTCTGCCACGTTCATAGCTACTGCTACTGGCTTGATTTACATCAAGGGATAACTTGCTTTGCAAAGCTTGCTCCAATTTGCTAGAACCTTCATTAAGATTCATTCTTTGCTCGTGAGCTTGAAGAGAACCCACAAGCTCGTCAATAGATATAACTGACAAGTCTTTGGCTTCTTCAATGGCAGTGACTATATAATCAAACTTTCTTGTTAGTGACCGTAGAATTTTCTCCATTACTCTGACATCATCTAAAGTCTCTCCATTTCTTTTCATCTCTTTCGCCACCTTTTGCACTCGTGAGGAATAATCTGTAACTGGCTCTGCATTCTGCATTTTTAAGTTTTCAAACTTAGCTCTTAGGGATTGGAGTCGTACCTTTTTAGCTTTGTCAACTCCCTGGCAAGACTTCTGTAAAATCTCCCATGCTTCCTTGGATGATTTTGCATCTGATATTTTCTCAAAGGTTGATTCATCAACACCTTGAAAAATTAAGAAAAGAGCCTTTTTGTCCTTCTTTCGTGAATCTTTAAGCATCTTTCTCTGAGCATCTGATAAAATTGCTTCTGCAGCTGCATTGGCGGGCTCTATGTATCCATCCTCAACAAGGTCCCATATATCTTGGGAACCTAGCAACGTCTTCATCTGAATGCTCCAATTCCCATAATTACTCTTTGACAATTTTGGAATCTGTGGTTGTATCATCTCCGCCATCTTTGATCGAACGTGGCTCTGATACCACTTGTTGGAAATTTAGAGAAAATAAAAGAATAATAGATGAAGAAATCTCTTTGTATTTGAACTGGCTAAAAGAAAAAATTATAACACTCACGGTCACTTTGTTTTTTTCCTTCCTTAGTGCTGTAGCACTGTTCTTTCTTTTTTGTTCTTTCTTTTTATCTTCCTTTTTTTTTTCTTTCTAATACTTTATTCCACACCTAATCATACATTTATATATAGGCTAGTCTACCGACTCACTTCTAACATTATATAATATAATATTTAAACTTTTGCTATATGACAACTACTTGGACTTCTACAACTTTCCATTTTCATCTAGCAACCGACTTTTGGCTTAGAATGTTTCGGCCAGGCGGTGTAATGCATCAACTTGATATCACCATCAATAGCCATATACGGTGCAGTCTTTTAGCGGTGGAGAAATTTAGGTACCAAATGATAGAGACTTCTAGAGTGGCGGTGAATCAAAGATAAGTGGCAAAATTCAAATTTAATTTCTAACAGTTTGGTAGTTTCCATCACTATCCTTTTTCACGCTACAAAGAACCATCAGTTACAGTTGGCGATTAGAGCAGGGTTTCAAGATCTTGTATATGCAATAATATAATTAGTAGATTCAGCAACTTACAAAGCTAGATTTTCATAGTATATCGATCTAAAACTACTTCTTGTGTTTAATGAATGAAGACTCTTTTTATAACGGTTTTTTAGGTAGATTTTAATATATTTTCCTAATTATTTTATAGTAAGAAGGTGCTAGTGATTATGCAGACGTGACACATACTATTAAGCGTGTGAGTAATTAAAAAAAAAGTCTTATAAAAACTTATGGAAGGTACGTGGTAGAAATATTATGACTATAGGGAATTATAATTAACAGAAATTAGACTGTCCCCCCGTGAGTGTGACGAGCTTGATGAATATTAATCCAAGTTTTACTTGGTGATTGACCTATGTTATAATCCAAGTTTTAATGCATTTACTTTCTTAATTTTATCTTGAACAGCATTTGCAATTGCATATCAGAACCGTGAATGTCCCAGTCAGCTTTTGTCCCATTTTATATTCTTGTATACAATTCTTGTCCTCAATTCCACTTCTAATCATTTGCTCGTGCTAATGAAGAAATGATGTTACTAAGAATGAAAAAGAATAAAAGTGACAAAAGTCTTTTTCTTTTTTCGGAGTTAATTCAACCGCGATTATCTCTTGAGGCGAGTTGTTCTCTCGGTATTTTCACAAATTTTGACTCTTTGAATTTGATTATGAGACTAATTTGGAGTGCGAGGCGAGTTAGGGATAGAGATATTTAAACTCCTTTTAAAATAATATGTAGGATCGAACCGAAACATTTTCTTTTTTCACTTATTCAGCTCTATAGTAACTGAACTACCAACATTTGACGAGACAAAAATCTTTAGTGGTGGGAAATGGACGGTGGAAACTAAGGGGGTTGGTAAAGGAGAAATTTTTTTTTTATCAGAAAAATTCAATTACTATGAATATGGTGATAAAGTGAATTTGGTAGGAAAATTAAAAAAGAGTTATTTGATAGATCAAAATATTACCGAAAAAATTGGATTAAATTTTCTGAATTTATAATTGGTTAAAGATAAAATATTGATGAAAAAAGGAGATGAAAATACCAAACTAGCTCTTGACTAAATACAAAAAAGAGTCTCTCTCTCTTGCTTTCTTTTGACACGTTTTTTCGAGAAAAGATATTTGTGTTATTTTTTTTTTTTACTTTTTAGTTTGATGGGATAATACTGAAATGACAAATTTTTTCAATTTTACACACAAACTGTGATTGGTATGCAAATTCGAACGATTGACAAAATTTTTCAAACCTCCTTCCAAACATGATTAACTAAAAAATTCATCTCAACTTTTTTAATCATCCAAAAAAAAAACTCTCCTACCAAACAACTTCTAGGTATTCACGAAAAGACGTCGCATTGCTAAAATGCTTTCTCGTGACTTTGACTGTGTTGCGCTTTGGGAAATCTTGTGGATTATTATGCCTAATCTTTAATGATTACTCTTATTTACATGCATAATTTTTTTTTCACAATTTTACTAATCTATTAAAAAATATTTTGATTTTATTATTCCCCATACAACATTTGGATCATTAAATAACGGTTGGAAAAAATTAAATAATGATATATTACTTATGATTGTCTTCCAATTTTTATTTTATTAGAAAAGAATCCATCAACGAGAAAAAGAAAGCAACTTCGGAGAATATATTGAACAGGAAGCATCAACTATGAAGAGGATATTCTTCAGGACAAATCCAAAGTTATAACATGCTAACAATTTTTTTGACCCTTTATCATCTAGTGTTTATTCCTTCTCCCTTTGATTATATAAGGTGGATAAAGGAATCACCGTAGTCACTGATTTCTCCTTTTGGCATTAAATATTTTATAAGGAAGATATACTTTAACTGCAAGGGAGTGAAAACTATACAAACTGCAAGTGCAAATACACATGAAAATCATAGCTATAGCATCCATATTCCATAGTTTTATGGGATTATATTTTTTTAGGGAAATAATTATCTGATGTTGCATGAACATCAGATAATTATTTCCCTAAAAAAATATAATCCCATAAAACTATGGAATATGGATGCGATGCAACAGAAATAAAATAGTGGGTTCTACTATTTTTCTTTTCTTCTTTTTAAAAAAAAGTAGTGGATCCTATATTTTATCTCTGTTACATGAGATAATTATCTTATGCAACATGAGATTAATAGATCTCATTTTCTTATCCAACATAAGATAAGATATCTCATGTTACACTCACAAATTTATGTGAATTTTATTGTACATAAAAAGAGAAAAAAGAATTTCAAGTGGATCTCACGTCTTTTTTAGTGTGTAAGATAGACTTATTGTGTCATATCACATGAGACTAATATTTCTTTAATTTTATTAAGAAAAAGGAAAGTAAGTTAAAGTGAAAATAAATTCGTGACAAAATTGAAAGTGAAAATCAAGTAATGCACTTTAATACCCCAGTAATTTTCAAAATTTATGCACATTTAATTTAATTTGAGTAACATGATGTCATTACATTATTTAACGAAAATTTGATACATAAAATTTAAGGACTTTTATTAATCTCATGCAACAGGAGAGAAGTCTTATGTGTGGGACCCACTCACTTATAGAAAAAGAAAAAGAAAATAAAAAAGTAATACGAAAGTCGATATATATGTAGAAAATAAAAATACTCTCCTACAACACAAGAGTATATTTTTTCTAAAATTCAAATTTGTTACCGCAAAACAATTACCGAATGAAATAAATAATCAGGAACTTTTATCAATTTCTTCCTACAAAAAGGACAAACAATCAAGCATATAATCTCAAGAATCCAATTTGAAATCGAAATGGCAAAAATACCCTTGAGCCGTGGAGAACTAGCAGTCCAATCTTGAAGCAATTCCCCCCCAAATTAGCGGGGCAATTCAGGCACGCGAACACCGAAACCCTAAAGCTAGGGTTTAATAGCTCTCTCAATTGGCTCCATACAAAAGCATCTTTAATGTTTTGATTGATTGATTGATTAGGATTAGTTTTTAGTTTTTATTCTTTCTCGAGATCGGTGTAGGTGAATCAATTTTGGTTCGATCTTCCAATCGGGCTTTATCGCCCAGTGCGCGTTCAAATCCATGGTCATCAGTTTACGATGGACCCCTCTCCAGTGCGCACCACTCCTCCGATTGAACAAGAAGAAGACGAGTGGGGTATGTAAATTTTGCTTCAATTCCGTTCCCCCCCCCCCCCCCCCCCCTTTTTTTGGGGTTCTTCATGATAGAATCAGGAACGGAGAAGAAAAAAAAAAAGAGGGATCTTCTGTGGTTGTTTTGTGTTTCCCTTTTTTCTTTTTTCTTTTTTCTTTTGGTTGATTTGTTGATGGGGCAATAAATTATTGAAAACGACAAGGAGGTTTCTTGCTATATTATACCCAGAATGAATCTAATTGACTTATTGCATTTAGTTGGAACTCATCTGAATCACAATGCAAAGTTTGCAAATTGGATCTATTACTAGTTTCTGTTCTAGTTTGTGGGTTTATCATGTTATCTGAATTTTATTTTCTGGCGATATTGATTTGTTATGGCCTAATTTCTGTTATTAGGATCACATCCGTGTGTAATGCATATGGCTCTGGCTTGATTTCATATCTGTTTGATTCAACTTTTTCTTTTCACGTTTTAACTCAATTAGCACTGGTTGATTTTTATGTAAATTAGAAGCATTTAGTTAGGTCTGAAATCATAATATCCTAATATATAGAGAATAGCAGTACTGATATAGGTTTGATATTATATGTTATGTCTATGTTTATGCTTAAAAATTTTGTTTCAGATTATCAATTTACTATTTACTATGCTGATTGTTTGCTATGAAAATTAACGGGTCTGTGTTAGGAGTTTCTGACCCCGTGATGTGACTAGGAAATAGTTGTTTGGTTTAGTTCTCTCCTGTGAGAAGCATGCATCTTATTACTATCTATTTTGCTAAGCTGGGGGTGTCAATTTTCTTGGGACAAACTTGCATTTTGATAGTCTTTTTTGCTGTAGACACTGATGGATTTGTGATTCCTAGCTTGGGAATTGGAGACTCAGATCGAAGTAAACCTTATGTTCCCGACATACAATCCTCAAACTCTGCTGCAAAGGTAAGCTAAAAGATTTGTTTTTATTTAGAAGACTGGATAATATGTAGGTTTTAGATGATGGAACTGGTTGGGCAGACAATGTGTATGCTTACTGTATTTGTTTGTGTAGGCTAAGAAGGAAGAGAACATCTATCTGGGCCCACACGGAGCGCCTCCTTCACAATCAAAACAGCAAGAGCTAAATTCATCTAACCGGAAGCAGCGTTTGAAGCAAAAACTGAAAGAAGCTGATAAGAGAAATAGTGGGACAGGAAGGGAAAATAAATTGGATAACTTGAGAGAGCTTGTGGGTGGGGGAAAAGAAAGTGCCAACATGTCAAAGGGACCCTCTAAGGACTGGTTAGATCCACATTGCCATGAATCTCACTTTGAGAGGAGGTAATGCACACATTGGAGATTTTAGTATCTTTGAGCTATTTGTTCTCGGAGAACGTCCACTTTAGCACCTTTTGCTATAGTTTGATGCATCGCTCGAGATACAAGTTCCGGAGGTTATGTACTCTGTCAATAAATTTATCACTTGGTCTATTTATATAATAAAGGTCTTATGTCTCGGTGTATACTAAAATTCTTTGTGGAAACCGTTGGCTTGACCCCTTCATTTCAATTAACTACTGTTTTAGATCATGGAAAAATATTAAGGAACTAAGGAAATTAAATAGGAAGATAAAAACAGGATGAGAAGTGCAAGAATAATGAAGGAAATAAGATGGAAATTGTGAACGTTTTTCTTTTTCAGAACTTCATATAGATATTACATATAATCAAATGAAAATATGGAATAAATATAAAATCATTGATATGGCATTTGAAATTAAATGATATTTGCGCTTATCAAAAATGTCATATGTCGGAATGCTGTGATTAATACCCTATGGTTTATTCACATTTTTTTATTAATTAAATTATAAAATTTTAACCCCAAGGGTAGCTCAGTTGGCAGCTGAGCTCCCAAGGGATTGCTTGGTGCAGGGATCAAATCCTGCCTCAAGTAGTTTCTTGGAAAATCTTTGGGGGCCAGAGGATAAGCCAAAAATCTTCGGTTGGGGGATTAGTCTCGTCTCGTTCTTTCTCCGGTTGCGAAGCTTAGTGCATCCACTGTTACAATGAGGGGTTAGCCCAAACAGGCCGTACCCCGAGGGCATGGTACCCGGAGAAGGTTGAATGGGGATACCTCCTCTGGCAATGTACCAAAAAAAAAAAAAAATTATAAAATTTTAAATTAATCATTTTTTATTCAAGTCAATTTTAATTTATATTTTTACTTATATATATGCCTCAATTTAATTAAAATATTAGACAAAAATCTTACTAAACAAGGAAGGATGTCAACACTTCTTTCCGCATGTCACTATATATTTTTATAAAAATTAAATGTAATTGTTAATGAATTAAAAATAAATTGTTCTCGTATGAATGCCGTTATTTCATTAATTTCATAACAAACACCTCTAGCCTAGTTACTCCCGGTACTCAAATAGTTTGAATTGAACTTATATTATTGACAAATAATTGGGCATCGTTCACTAGATATATAAACCATTTATTGATTGTGTGAATTAGTTTATTTTGAGATAAAGGGATTTAAAGAATGATTGTTTTCCGTTTTATAAAAAAGCTTTCCCAAACTTTCACTTAGGCATACAAAGATTGAACTATATAATATCCCCAACAAAATATCAAACAGATATAATACCCTCAATATGACGGAAATACATCCTTGCATAGTGAAAAAAAAATGACATGATCATGTGAAAAAATCACAATTATATAAAAGTGAATCAATAGTTATAATTTTGTAACTACATATTTTAATATATTTTTTTTTCTCTTTCTTTATTACGATTAATACATCTTTGTATAATTATAACTTACTTTATAACTATATCATGTTTTTTTTTTTAACATGAGAAGATCCCGGAGAATGAACTTGTTGACTTCTCGAATGAACTTCCCAGGAGTTGTCCAGGTGAATTTGTCGCCAGGCCTTTCAGAGATAACTTAATACTCTCGGGTTCTTGCAATGAACTTAGTTCCAACTTCTAGGTAGCCACTCTCAGTTGATGGCGAAAAAGGTCATATGTAGTATTCGAGGCAGGCATTGAGCACTCAGGTAATAGTAGCGACTCGTGGCATTTAAACATCAAAAACTCTGAAGGAACTCTAATCATTTGATACCCAAGAACTTTAATCCAGTTGCTTTCGGTGTCAAACCAAGCTGAGACAAGTATTCGGCATTATAGAACTTGCTCAAATGTCTCATTCCACTGTCGCAGAGAATGGTTACAATAGTATGACCAGGGCCAATTGACTGTGCTACTCTAACTGCTCCAACACAGTTCATTGCAGAAGAACTGCCAAGGAAGAGCCCATCGTTCTTCAAAAGAAACCTAATACATAAAAAATTTAGACATTTCAATTCATTGATCGTTTCTTCCAGTTGACAGACAAAAAAGAATAAGGAAAGAACAAAAAACCTTTAAAAATAAGAAAAGAATGAGGAATGACCTAGCCATTTCAACGGCCTCCATATCTGTTCCTCTAAAGGCCCCATCAAGTTTTGCCTTCTCAAAATTCCTAGTTACCCTGTTGATTCCAATTCCTTCTGTTATAGTGTCAAATGGATTCTTAAGTCTTCGTCCTTCTGCCTCCTCTTTGGTGTACATCACACCCCTTGTTACCTTATTAAACAAACCAGAACCAGGAGGATCTATGAGGAAGCATTTGATGTTTGGATTCTTTTCCTGTTGAGCACAAGACAAGACACTCAGGCAACTTTTACAATCAAAGTGACAATATTTCTAAAGGTGGAGGAAGGGGGTATAAACCTGAAGAAACCTGGAAACACCAGCCACAGTACCACCAGTGCCTGCTGCTGCAACAAATGCATCTAAATTTCCATTTGTCTGTTCCCAAATCTCAGGCCCTGTACCCTCATAATGGGCCCTGAAGTTTGCTAAGTTCTCAAACTGATCCGCAAAAAATCCACCTTGACAATCATTAGAAAAGAGTGAGCTGCGATTGTATCCATCAGATTTATAACCATTCATTTGCTCTGTGTCCTTGCCATTCAACTGTGAATTTCTATGCTTTAATGCAAACTCATTTGCTTCAGATGCCCGTCTTCTTGCAATATTAACAAAATGATCTTTGTGAGTAATTGACACTGGTCGTACTCTTTCAACAGTTGCCCCAAGGGCTTCGAGTATTTGAGACTGAAGGGTGGTTCCAATAGAATAAACAAAATGCTTCAGTAAACAAGAAAATAAAGTGAAATAGTATGAAGGAGATATGGTCAATTTCAATTAAATTGATAGACAAACATTGAATTTGTTACGACCTATGTGAGGGAGTGGTTAAGGGCATTAGTTAGGGCCCAGGTTAGTATAAAGATTGAATCAGGCAGATAGACATATAATTAGGTGGTTATTCAGTTAGGCCTTTAGGGGATAGGTTCAGCTCAATGTATAAAAGGGATACTCTTGACTTTAGTAAGCAGCTTTTTGATAAATTCATTGTTTGGCTGAGAATTTCTCAGAAAAAGGGGAATGCCCCTTGTGAAGAGCTTGCTCTTGAATTCTGTCCTTGCACTGTTGCCTATCAATCAATAAAGAACTGTTCTTACTTCCATACTCCCCTTACCCCATTTCTGTAATTCTTACCTTACAATAATCCAGAGCCGTAACAGAATTTAAAGCATATTAGAAACTGCACTTCTCATGATTAATTTACTCAGTCTAAGAAAGAATACACTGTCCAGACAACTCACAGACACAGCAGCAACATTTTGAAAATTTTAGCACGTAAGACTTCCTGCGTATTTGGATTAACTCATTTGGGAAAATAATTGCCTTTTTTTAGAGAACTTTTAAAAAAAATAAGAAGCAATGGTTTCCCATAATTCAAGCTAAACCAAACACATGCTTAGTTGTGTAAGTTAATCTGCTCTTGATTTGTTTAATCATTTTGTTCCACTAACAAATTAAAATGTAAAAAGAGAACCAGGAGGCAGAAGTGAGGAAGACAAAAAATGCTCTAGGGAGGTTTTTTATGGCCAGTGTTGAATCCAGATAAAATTTCAAATTCAGTTTAGAATTTTCAAGTGTTGAAAATATTCCTCATGAAATGAAATCATATAAGAAAACTAGACTGATACACAGACTTGCTTGATCACAGTTATAAAATACCTTCTCAATGGCAGCATCATCTGGTATAACCACGTGGCTTTTGCATCCATAGGCAGGAGCAACAGTTGCAATGCTAATGGCGGTGCTCCCAGCACTCCCTTCAGTAACTATTCCACCTGGACGTAGCTGGCCAGATTCCAAAGCCTGCGTAATCAACCATATAGAAAATGAAACAAAAGCCACACAACAAATAAAAATTAGTGATTCTAAAGGGAAAAAGTAGAGGAGTTTGGCTAGTTATTGATAAAATGACTCAAAAGCTTTGATAATCCTCTTTTGGCACAAAATTATCAAAGAAACAATTCTCCTAAAAGCTAAAGCTCAATCCGTTAGGTTGAGGCTCATGAATGAAGGAACGGATATTTACATCTTTAACAAATGAATGATTCAACTATAAACTAGTTTGAAATTACCTCTTCTATAATTTTAACTGCAACTCGATCTTTGACACTCCCTCCGGGGTTCAAAAACTCGCACTTGCCGAGAATCTGAAGAGCAAAGTTGTGAGTGAAATTTCTAAACAAGCAAAGGGAACGCAAGTGAAGAAGAAGAGGGGCTTACGTGGCAACCAGTGGCGTCGGAGAGGCTGTTGATACGAATCAAAGGGGTGTTACCAATGGCATCAACGAGTCCCTTCGTTGATTTCTTCTTTGATGAATTGGAGCGACGGTCACAGATAAAGTAAGCGAGCACGACCGAGACGAAGATGGCAGCTCCAACACCAACAGCGCCTGCGCTTCTCACTGCCACAGGCTCCATTCTTGCGCCTCAAACAAGGAGGGTTATGTTTTGTACTTTGTACTATGTATGCAGTTAACTAATACCTACCATACCATGTAACATCCATTATATATATTATGAAGGCTTTTGGGTTATGTACTTATGTTACTAATACCATGTTAATGGGCTTTGTCTCATGTCTTGTTCGGGCTTCTTTTTTCTACTGGCCCATACCTCACATATAAGAAGAAATGAAATGCTATTTTTCTAAATTTGGGGATAGTAAAAAAAAAAAAAAACCTAAAAACTCTTTTTTTTCATCTAATAAACCAAGGGTATCCTCTACGTGAATCAATCTTATTCGCGTTTAGCATTAAGATTTCAAATTTCTCTTAAAAGATAATATTGGTAAAAAATAAATATATATTCTCATTTCACCTGCTCAGCTTTTAGGATTTGTGACCAAAATGTGACGTTTTATCAAAATTTTTAACCAAATACTACACGACAGTATTTTTTACCAGATTACTGCGTGTCATAATTCGCTATCACTGGTAGCGAATTTTGTGGCCAATGATTTCGTGACACGTGGCCATATTGCAGACCAAATTTCCTACCAGTGGTAGCGAATTATGACACGTCAGCTTTTTTCTGTGAAAGTGTGCCACGTGTCATAAAATCATTGGCGAACATAATATGCTACCAGTCAATGCAAATTATGCTTATGTGGCAGTCTGGTAAAAAGTACTGCTCGCGTGGCATTTGAATATTTTTTTGCCAAAAGGTGGCATTTTGGTCACTGTTCCCCCGCTTTTATGTGTCAACTAAGTTACTTTGTGTCATTTTAGATCTAACCGTTAATCTTTGTCAATCAACAATTAGAATTTGTTGAGTTTTATTACAAATTACTGATTAGTTAATAAGTTTGATCCAATAAATCTTAATCGTTAATGGACAGAAATAAGATATAAAATGAATCTTTGAAAAGGGTAAACGTTTTTTCACTTTAATTAAAAAAAACTTAAAACTCTTATTAATTATTATGGCAGTGAAAATTGAGTGTGTCCACCGACTTGGAAGACCAAATTCAAAAAACAAAGACTTTTGTCTGAGGGAATCTCTGCACAGAAAACACAGTCTCACTCATTCACTCTCACTTCATCGGCCGGAACGGAACACTCTCTCATGAAGATCCCAGAAAAGGTGGTCAAGTTTAGGTACCATTTTGTAGCGGCTATTGTGTTTTGTGTCATTATGTTGTCTCTCGTAGTGATGGCCCCAAGATTCATGACAATATTGGGCTATTTCTGGCCACTCTTCCTCTCGACAGCACTCGTCCTTGCCCTTGTCTTCCTCTTTGCAAAGACTTCCCCTTTACCGCATACCGACGCTTCCGTTAACAACGCCGGCCAAGAACTCATAGATTATGTGACCGGCTACCCTGACCCTGAAGCGCATTTGGAAACTCACAACAAGTCCGATTAGCTAGGGTACCCTCTCCCTTCTTCCTGTTCCTTCCCAACTAAGGTTAGAGACATACCGTCGTTATTGATTTGTGTACTACTACTATTACTTACTTTGTCACGGTGACCCTTCATTCAACTCTATAATTATTTCTTTACTTTTTTTACATTCTTTTCTCCTTTTAGTTATCGTTATCTTTGCCAGCTTTAATTTATGTGTTTTTCTTCTTCTTTTTTAATTTGAAAAAATAAATCATATAATTGTTAAATTTTGAACTTGAAAAAAATTGATATTCCATTTCGCGTTGTGACTGAGACAGGGTGTTTTTTTATTATTTCTTTATTATTTTTAAGGTAGTGGCAGTGTGTCTATTTGAGTGTGGATATGATTGTGAAAGTTGCACAGCTGGAATCATTGTTGATGACGTACTGCTTAGGTCACGAACGGGCTATTATTGCTACGGTCCCCCGCTAATTGCGTGGCAGTATCAAAGCGAATACTCTCTTTATTTTTATTTTTTTAAACCCAAAATGTATTTAATGGATAAAAAAGCCCAATCAAGCATAATTGCCTGTGCTAATGCAATTGTGATTTGTGACATGCATTCATTTTCTGAAAAAATCCAGATAGCAATATATTAACTACACGTGTTTGTTCTCTTATTTTAGCTATGAATAAGTCTCAAATTATTATGTCAGTAAAAAGCTAGTATTTGTTTAGAATATACTTTCGGTTTATTAAACTAAAACCAAACATATTACAATCACGAAAGTATTTCAGTATGTTTCATTTTTATTAATTAACGTAAATTTTATTTTTAATTTCTTTTGATAAAATTGAATATAATGTCTTAAATATTAAATAGTTAATCTAATTAACTGATTAAAATAAAAAGGAAAAAAATGTTTATTTTTAATATAATTATTTTATTTAAAATTATTATTATTTTATTTAAAATTTAAATTAAAAAAATCACTTATTTTCTCTCGTATAATTTTTATTATGTATTTTTTTTAAAGAATATAATTTTATATTCTTTGAAAGATATGGGACAATGACCAAAGTGCTACGCTTGGACAAAAAAATTACCAGATTGTCACGCTAATAGTAAATTTTGTCAAAATACCACGCGTCATAATCTGCTACACAGAGTAGCGAATTATGCATGCAAGTAATTTGCTACACAGTGTAGCGAAATATGTCACGTCAGAATGCACAAAACCAAAAATGACACATGTCAAATTTTGAGAAATTCGCTACATAGGGTAGCGAATTTCTCAAAATTTGACATGTGACATTTTTGGTTCTGACGTGGCATATTTGCTATACTATGTAACGAATTACTTGCATGTATAATTCGCTACACAGTGTAACGAATTATGCCGTGTGATATTTTTACAAAATTTATTGTTGACGTGACAGTCTGATAATTTTTTTGTCCAAACATGACAAAATAGTCACTCTTTCAAATATCAAATCCAAATAAAAGTGTACTTATTTATTTATAATGATGAAAAGCTAATAATAGGTCTCGAAAGTTGTAGAACCGTGGTACATTGCACCATGTGCCGTCCATGTTAGCTGCTGGAATGCTCATCTGTCAATCAGTATTCATATCGAAACAACCTCTCTTTTTTACAGTAAAGTTCTTTATGCATCATTTTCCTACTTTTTGTACTGCTCTATCATCACAACCAAGGTTGTCAGGTAGTGAAATTTTACGGTACACCTGTCATATTGCCTCTCGTATTTTAAACCCTAAATAATAATATAAATATGGAGAGATGAGGATATGTCAATCCCAAATTTTATTACCTCTCATATTTTTATTTTTATTTCATATAAATAGTAATTAAAAATATAAATAATTATTAACATATAATAATTAAGATAATAAATAATAATATAATTTTAAAAATATAATTAGACTCATTGAGTTAAATAACAATTTAACACCATAAATAAATATAAAAAGGACACTTCCCAATAAATTCTAATTTACTAGGGTAAGGATAGAGAGGCTAATCTATATATCTGCAAATACATTATTTTCAATAATATCTTTATCTTTTACAAATTCAAAAACCTTAATTTTATTGTAAGTGTTAATAATAATAATTTCATGATTGGTTTTCTCCTTTAAATAATTCAAATATTTATAATTTCTGCTCTTTCCTGCCTCTTAAGTCTTAACACAAGATTTAATGAAAATTACATCAGCGTGATCTTATTTAACATTCCTCCTAGTTAAGTTTTTTGTCCGAAATTCATGAGTATTACACTCAACCATGAGGTCAATAATTAACTTGCAACTTTTAATTTTCAATATATCCAGCAAGAAATACATCCAAGAGTTGATGCTAGGCTAGCCGAAAAAAAAAAAAAAATATGATTTTTTTTTTTTGGTATCTAGATTATTATTATATATATTATTATATAAATTTAAAATAATTTATGGTTGGCGATACACAAAGGACGAGATTCTGTTCCTGAGTTATGGGTTCATACACTAGACGTTAATGTCCTAATCAAACCCATCAATTTATCTTGATTTCTGGGTTTCAATCTGTTAACTAATACATGATCTCTCATGATAGAATTTAAGTGAGGCTGATAATGGTGTTTATAGTTCATAGTTTCTTTTCTTAAAACAGAGAGAAGTGAAGTGAAGAAAGCAAGTCATCTTATAGGGAAAGGATCCGTTTACAATTTTTTTTTACAAATTACATTAAATATGACTGGTCATACACTCTTGATTGAAATATGACTGATCATACTTAGTATAATTTATAAGAGTTTGTAAACAAAAAGTTTGTAAATATAACCTTCTCTTATTTTATATTCATAACAAAAAAAGTCTACCACACTGGCACAATTATCATCGCTTGCATTACACTTCTCGAAAGCTTCAAACTACATGGTGCGAGCAATTAAAATTAAAAATGCCACTGACCAATAAACGCCCACCCTTTCAAGAAATTTCACTTTCCATCCTCTTCAAAACTCTGATGTGCATTTCGTCATTGAAGTGAAAAAGGCGAATCACTCTATAACAACTTAGTGTATGTACTATACTATATATTGTGTTAGTCTAAGATGACTGAGCAAGTGTTATATCAGAACTTGAAAGTGTACCAGACTGATCAACGTCAAGCTCTTCAAACTCCTTCATCACAAGTGATATATCTTCTTGACTAATCTTCCCCATCTCTTTCAGCTTATAAATAATGAATTCAGTAGCCCTATGAGCAACAAAACCAAAGAGATTAAAATAAATGAAACAATGCAAATCATTGATAGTACAATAAAATGCTAACAATAAAGACTTTGAAAGAATGCTCAACTAACCCAACACTCCCATCGTCATCAAGATCTGCAGCCTCCAAATCTAAATTGGTCATCTTCCTTGTAAGAACCCACTTGACGAGTGCCTTTTGTCTGCTTTCAGTGCTTAGCTCAGCAATGTAGAGGAAAAACTGAGCTACACAAACAGTACCTGTTAATATCCAAAAAAGGGCAAATATTCTTCCTGCTTGAGTTGAGAAACTTTTATCCCCATAACCCAGGGTTGTAATTGTAGAACAAACACAGTAGAAGGCATCTATAATTTCCAATTTCTCAACCGTGACCAAGAAAATTGTCCCCAAAATAATGATAATCAAAAGAAGGAAAAAGACCAGAAAAAGTTTGTATCTTGTTTTATTGATCTCAATCTCCTTTAAAATTTCAGCTGGACCAACTTTTTGGCGCATGTGCATATGCATAGCTTTAACTAGCAAAACTTCCTGTTTCTCAACCAAGAAGTCTGCTGCTTTGCTTAGGATTAGTGCACCCACTGCCATTCCAGAGAAAACAAAAGCACAGGCGAGTAGTTTTGTAAGGTCACTATTTGGCACAAGATCTCCGTATCCAACAGTGGTCATTGTCACGATTGTAAAGTATAAAGCATCAAGAATTCTGTCTGTTTTCTGCCCCTTGATCTGGTCCCTGCAAAGGTAGAAGATTATAACACCTACACCTAAATAGACTGCAAGGCATGTTGCCACTTCTTTAAAGCTTGGATGTATATTCCCAAATATGGACTCAGAACGGGGAGTGGATATATTGCCATTTGTCTCAGGAATATCAAGATCTGTGGGAGGAGCACTTCTACAACGGCGGAACCTTCTCTTGTTTAACTGTCTTAAAGCCTTTCGAGCTGCCGGATCCAGTGAGTCTGACAGCAAGGGCTCCTTTACACCATTGTTGGCCATACAGATGAATTTAGAAAGCAAGTAATAGTGGACCTGATTCAGCTGCAAAGCAGTCCAAACTAGCAGTGTCAGTCATATAAAAAGGAAAGTATACGTACATTCAAATATAAGTCTCGTGAGCCTAGCTCACTTGGATGGGACATTTGCTTGTATGTCCCTGGTAAGGGTTTCATCACCCCTTCATCAGATATCCCTTTCCCACCCTCTTCCCCCTCCCCGGCCTCTTAGTAGTTAGTAGGGATCCCTTATGCAACGTTATATAATCCACACACACACACACAGAGTAATAACTCCTAAGACTTAAAAGTATAAAAAATATGGAGCATATTATAAATTATCCAAAGAGTTTCACGGAAAAAATAAACTAGCATGTTCAAACATGGACAAGAATAGGCGCCGGTGATTAATCCAAGTTCTACTTCTAACTGACTACCACGATCACAAAATAAATTCATATGGATCTCCCCAATTCTATGTTTTCAAATGAAGAAATTGCATCCGCTTATTTTGAGCTATAGAGAAGTGACTTTGTAGGCACAATGATTAATAAGCATTAAAAGTAGTAGTCAGATAAAGAGAAAATAATAGCATCGAAGCACAGTGACTTTGCACTTGAAGTTCTAGATGCACAAAAAAATCATGGAGCAAACACAACTAATCAACAAGGACTTCCCATATGCAAATTACCGCTCAATTTCCCTACCTCAAATCCATAATTATACAAATTCTAATGAAAATTACATCAGCGTCATTTTATTTAACATTAAGATCTCATTCTGAAATTCAGGAGTATTCCATCTCAACCCTGTGGGAAAAAAAAACAGAATAAAAGGGACCGAAAAATGAAAGAAATCTGAAGTTTTGGTTTTAAAAAACAGAACATAGCTAAGAAGCAAATTCCAATTTCTTTGCTCCTTTTGCTCAGTTCAGTCAGTCTTCAACGAAATTTCATTCTTATAAAGTATTTTCCTCCAGGTATGGCCATTCATCCAAAGAAAAGTAGTTCCCATTAACAGTAACCCAAAATCACACAAACAATTCAGGGTTGATAACTTCAAAAAATTGCAAAATCTAAGAGCCATTGGAAAGAAAAAAAATATAGGTCAAAATAACCAACAAAAAGAAAAATAAATATTTTCCTGTATTAAGACAATAGTGATTCATTAATTACGAGATAAACTGAATAAACAAAGTGGATCTGAGTAAAGCACGATCGTTAACACTTTTATTGTTCATCATGTAAAAAAACTTGTGCAACTGCAGCTTGTTTCAAGGAGCATTGGATTTTCAGAAATAGCTATAGTACTATACAAACTCAACCTTAAAGTTAAGATACCCTCTTTAAAACACTGGTAAAAGAAAAGAAATTTACAAAATTTACAGGTAATGGATGATGAATCACTAACAACAAGAAGGGAATTCAAACGAAAAAACAAGCAGTGGTAATTCCAATTAAGTAGGAGTTCAACTTATGCATGAAAGACATGTGTTAGAACAAGAAGCCAAAAGTGGAAACAAATCCATAACAATAACAATGAATGAAATTCATATTGCGACAAAAGCTTTCACCTTTCAAGTGGTCCGGTGTAGCTGAAAGAGAAGATGAATATTGCAGAGTCTCCAGAAAGTTTCTGATTCAGTGGAACTGGATCCCATTTTTCTAATTTGTCGATAATTAATTATGAATTATCTTCACTAATCACATGGCCTACTCAGTTTTAAGTGTGTGTAAGCGATAAGATTATATGACACTAACCACGAATTAATTTCCGCGTTAAAGGGAGTTTGCTTATTTTAAAAGAAAAAGAAAACAAGAAAAAGATCGTGCGCCCATTTATTATCTGTTCCTTTCAACTTTATTTTGACTTTCTTTTCTTTTCTTTTTAGGATTGTGTCCGCTGTCCAGAAAGTAATTGGAGTTCCATTTATTTATTTATTTTTAAAATTGAAATACATATAACTCTATTCAATTTTACACAACCATTAATTCACTAGGTTTTTTAGAAAGTGATCATTTTCTATCTAGTAAAATATTGGGTATTGGAGAAATATTTTTTACCTGTGAATCATGATTTTCTGAAATATAGTAAAAAATTAATTTTCTCGAAAATGTTACTAAAAAATTGTTTGATTAGCCAAATTTTTTTCAAAAATGTAGAGTTGATTTTTCTGATACTATATTTGATTAATTATAAAATATTATTGAAAATCTGGACTAAAATTATAAAATTACCCTCGATTTTGAATACTTCCCTCAGCTATCTCTCTTGATTGACAAAATTAGCTAAAAGAATTAAAATTTACTATATTAAAGTATGACAGTTAAATTTCATTAAAAACTTACTTTTAAGTATTGTTGTAAAGTTCGGCCCGATCCGGTCGAGTCGATCAGGGATCTGGTGATCCGATAATTGGATCGATTCAGATCAAGCATTGGACTGGTCATGTATTGACCCGGTCAAAACCAGAACAAAACCGGTGACCCATAACCCAGTCGGATCATGCATATTTTTTTAAAAAAAAAAAAAACCAAAACTGATTGATCTTATTAGAAAAAAATGTAAAACTCATTTTAAAAACATTTTGTAATTTTATTTGCTAGTATACTTTTCTACAATGACCTCAAATTTCAGTTTCTAATATTGAAGCAATTCGCGGAATAATAAATTAAGATAATGTGATATATGTCATTTTAATATAATTGAATTTGAAAAATATGAGTTCAATGTCATTGAGAGGTATGTTTATGGGGATTCTGAGTTTCAATTTAAATTGACATAATAATAGCATATATTTTTATTTATTTATGCTCCATGTTTTTTAGCTTACTTTGTCAACATTGTTTAATTCATTTTATATATGAAAAATATAATTGAATTTATATTTTTATATATCTGTATATATCCGGGTCAACCGATCTGACCAGTGACCCACCAGTTCGATCAGTGACCCAGTAATTCAATACCCTAACTGCATCGATGCCGGGTCGGGTTTAACAGATATAATATTTTTCAATTACTCTTACATATTCGTCTATTCGTATCCAAGTGAAGTTTCTGCATATCCCATATATTCCACACATATTAGCTTCTTAGTATGCTAAAATAAAAGTTTTAACCAAACTCGTTTAACACACGTAGTAAGGAGTTTGGGTTCGTTTATAAAAAAAAAAAAAAAAGGAGTTTGGGTTCTTAATTAGGAATAAATCTTTGGTAATACTTCTGTACTAAAAGTTCAGTACATCACATCCATGAAAATATTACATGTCAGCTAAAATATTTTTTTTTTTTCTGTCAAATTTTTTTTATCTCATTCATGAGATACACTGAATCTAGGTTCAGTAGTAATATCAAAATTTATTCCTTAATTAGAGAGCCACCTCCGAAAGGGTACTCGATGTGATTAATCATTGGTTATGACTGGAGTGGCCGGAGGATACCGTTTACTAATAAAAACAAAAAAAAGTTCAAAAGAAGCGCAAAATGGAGGGAAAGAGGTTGAGATCCCAATCACAGTCACAGAGCATCGATGTACTCACAAAAATCAAAGGTTACGAAAACCATCCAATTTCCACAAAATGAATAATTGAATCGTCATATTGGACTTTGATGATTGTGTTTTTTCACTGCGTTTGCAGAATTCACTCGAGCTTTGGTTTCAGACATCACCAACGGACGCTCACCGCTCATTCTCATTGATCGCTTCAGAAATTACTGCTCCTTTCCTAACTCCAACTGGTTCCCTTCTAATCTCAATCAATTATCAGATTCTTTTTATAATTTGAAGCGATTTATGCCTCTTTTTGTTCAACTGTCTTGCTATGCAGCTTTTGTGGCTCCGATTTGCCGTGTGGAAAGGAAGTTCTCACACTCTCTAAGGAAACCCATGTACGCAGACTAGGTCAGTCTACCTTCGATTTCATGAGTTAGAATTTTAAACTGAATTAAATTTGTATATCTCTTTTCGGTTATTCTTCAATTATTTGGGTTCAAATTCTTAGCACAAGGGTTCAATTTATGTAATCATCTGGGTCTGATCCTTTTTGGGTCTTGCTCAGGTTGGGAGCTATATAGCACCAGGCTCCCTTTTGGTTTTCTTGGATCTCGGAAAAAATTGTGGGTCATTCTAGGCTTTGAATCTGTTGATGAGTTTCAGTTTTGGGTATGTTTCAGATGTCATGTTGAGAGTGCTGCTGATTGTTCAGAAACTTTTGCAAGAGAACAAGCATAGTTCCAAGAGAGACATTTATTACATGCATCCATCTGTATTTTTGGGTGAGTCATTCAATTTGCAACATGGAAGTACCAAGTGGAGTTATATTCATTTTCAAAAGATTAGATGAATGATTGCCACAAATTATGCAATGCTGTACCCATATTGGAAGAGGGAATTGTTTTGCAATAATAAGTTAGGAGTAGGACTCATTATTAATTTATGGCTTTAACTGTCTTTCTCTTCTTCGTGTTTTAAATTCTTTTTGTTTTATGGATCCAGCTGTCATGATCGCTTGATTTTGTATGAAAGATGTTGGATACCATTGTTTGGTTTTAGAAGGTTCCCTTCTACTTATACCATTGTCTTCCCGCATAAAAAACTCAGATGTCTTCTTATGACAAAAGTGTGCAAAAATCTACTATGGTTCTTTTATTGTACTCAGGTTTAACTTGTCACAATCTTGTTCGTAAGGTTGTTTAAGAGTCAGTGACATGACGTTTCTTTCTATGGTAAAGGTTTAACTTTCCCATTACATGCTGACTTCTTTTTCATGTATTTTATTTCTTTTCACATTGCAGATCAGTCAGTTGTAGACCATGCAATTAATGATATGTGCGTCCTTATGCAGTGCAGTCGCCATAACCTTAATGTGGTAGATTTTTTGCTGATTTTATTTCGGATTGGCTCTCTTAATTTGGTGGATTGTGGTGAATAAAATTTTTATCTGAATTTCTGATATGCTTCTTTTGCTGCTTATTCATTTGAACTAGAAAGTTACCCATGTTTCAGGTTTAGGATACTTATATTTTTTTCATTTTCATTTTTGTAGGTTTCTGCTGGGAATGGGTACAATATGCGATCACTCTTAATCTGGGAAAATGCACTTTGCTGTCAGCTTTCTCTTTATAATAATAATAATAACAGTTTATTTTCATATGTGATACAATTTTGTGAATGTATGTACGTTTTTGTATAAAATAAAATCTCGCCACTGGTGCATCCCAAAGTTGTCATGAATTTCAAAGGATGCATAATATATAATTTCCTATTTTTTGGAATTGTGGGATCCCGTGTTGGTTTAAAAAATTCCATTGATAGAATAAAATTTCATTATGATTCTTCGTAGTTTATACCTGGTGCTAATAACGCTGGCATATGCGGCATTCTGTCATCTAAATTCTTCTCTCCTGCTGCTTTAGCAATTATTAATTATTATTTTTCAAAAGTAATACCTTTTGCTTCCTACTCAGTTCTTCATATTATAATGACTTGTTCTAATTTGTTTAGCTGGCAAGACTTATGGATCAAGTTTGTTTCTGCTATAGGTTAGTTATGGGCTGGATAAGATTTTTTGAAGGAAAAAGGATATATGACTGTATCAGTTCTCCCAACACTGTAAGAACTAAGAACTAACCTTAATATAGTAATTAAATTTTACCATTTAAATTTCATGCAGGCATTTAGCTTTTCTGCAGGCCCACCCTGTTCCTGTTCATGTTGAAGAAGTTGAAGGTATCCTAATTTCTGGGTGAATATACAGCAAGTGTTTAGTTTGCTTCTTCTAATTATATTTTCTATTTGAACATCACCTTTATCCCAAACATATTTTCTACTTCATATTAACTTAAAATATGAAGTGATCAGAGATGGGAGAAACACTGCTTAACTCTTTGCTCATAGATATCGTTAGTGTTGCTCATTACATATTGGTTGTCGAGAAGGAATCAGGTAATCAAATGCTTTTGTTTTGGAGAGAAAAAGGAGGAAAAGTTAAAGAAGGTCCTTTCCTGATAAATTTCCTATTAAAAAGACAGTACATGTTGAACTTGCAGTTTTCCAAAGACTAGCAAACGACCAGTTCTGCAATGCAAATCATTGCATCGTCATCACTGTAATCAATTTTCTAGAACATTAGCTTCTTTTACGACAATATTTCTTTGTTTGATTTCTATCTTTGTACAGGGAAGAGGCTACCCAGATATTCCTACAAGAAGGTGTGAAAAATTATTTTCACTTGCCTAAGTTATTATGCTATAAAGCTATATGCCAGCTTTCCTTTTATATTGCATTATGATTGCGTCTGTATTCACAGTTGCAAATGTGCGTGCCTGGTCTTTTGTTTGATATTATGCATTTTGTATCCTAAAGGTTTTTGCGGCTTCTAGTTGAGAATTTGCACATTCCTGTATATTGCTTGGTAGATTGCGATCCCTATGGCTTTGACATCCTAACCACTTACAAATTTGGTTCAATGGTTAGTATTTGTAGGTTTATTAATTCAGAAATACTTCGACATGTATATCATTAGAGTGTTATGAATATGAAATGTACAGGATTATTGAATGGATTGAATATTTGTCTAATGGCTGTGAGTTACATTTCCGGATCCAGCTTGACTAATCTATTCCCCACTATTATGTTAGCAAATGGCTTATGACACGAAACATCTTCGTGTCCCTGAGATCCACTGGCTTGGAGCTTTTCCTTCAGATTCTGAAAGATATTTTGTTCCAAAGCAGTGTCTCCTTCCTCTGACTGCTAAAGGTAACTAGGGATATTACTTGTAGTGCTTCAGATTGGCGTAGTTACATATCTGATCTAATCAATATTGTATCTTCAATATTCTATTTCAGACAAGAAAAAAATTGAAGCCATGTTGCTTAGATGCTACCTGCAAAGGGAGGTGCCACAATGGAGGTAATAATCAATTGTGTTCCCTGACATTTGTCTTTTTCTTTCACTGGATTGAGATTTTACAGTGTGTGTTTTGTTTTAACGTTGCTAATGAAGGGTGGAGCTAAAGCTCATGCTGCAGAGAGGAGTTAAGTTTGAGATTGAAGCGTTATCTGTGCATAAACTTTCATTCTTGTCAGATTCTTACATACCATCAAAAATTCAACGTAAAGCGATTATCTAGCATGTTGGACATTCATGTGTTAAGCTCTATACAAGCTATTGAGCTTGGGCACATTCAGTATATGCTATTTATACGCTTTTGGAAGATTAAAGCCCCCTCTAAGGTGAAGACCTTTGTTTGGACTGTGGTAGTTAATAGAATTAATACAAATGATTAGTTACTAACTCGTATACATCACAAGGCGATTGTAAACTTTCGGTATAAAAAGGTGTAGAAACTGGCACCTTGTAACTTTCATAGAGATTATTATAAGTATGACTAGAAATGTTTTTGTACTTGCATGTGTAGTGATCTTTGCCACTATTACTGGAAAGGGAAGTGATACCATTGTTTGGGCTTATGGTAAGCTAGAGTGTGGCAAGGTTAATGGAAGCAGCAGTTGATGATCAAACAAACTATTTTTCTACATTATTATCAGGTAAACAGTACTCTGCTCGCTGGCCATCTATAGCTTCATGTGTATATATTTTTTGGAGAAATGTAAAAATATATTAACCCAAAAAATATACAATATAGACAGGGCATACCCTGCTGAAAATCTAAAGGACATATGCACACAGTGCAAGAGCCTAAGCTGGTCCACTAGGAGCATGTGCCTAGTACAGATGTGTCAAATGTGAGTGCCTATAGACAAGAAATTTTACCTTGTTAGTTACATCCTCAACCGAGAAGGGAGAGTGATCAAAAACCAAAATATTGCGGCCCAACCAAATACAGTACACTGTCATTGCAAGCACAAGGCAACGTGTTTTACCCAGGGTGCCAGAAAAAGCTTTGGCACGGATGAGGTGATTAATAGACCCCTGTAGAGAAGTAAAACCACGGCCGAAGGGAGACCAGTCACGAATAGCTTTTCACACTTGAATGGACTGGGGGCAAGTGAAAAATAAGTGGGCATGTGATTCATCAACCATTTGGCAAAGAGGGCAAGTCGCACCAATATTCAAGAACGAAGCTCTATCCAAAGTGAGGAGTTTTTGCTTCACGGCCAACCAGATTATAAAAGATACCTTGGGAGGAATAGCTGCACTCCAAACAACTTTGTGCCAGTGGACAATCGACCTTGGTTTTCTGAGATAATTATAGGCTTTGATAGCATTTAGAGAGTTGTTAGAAGTTCAAGATAATAGGGCTTGAACCGCTCCTTCCGTGTGCTGCTCACGATTCAGAATTAAGTCTCTAATTGCAATAATCTTCTTGAAAAAAATGGAATCTGATGGGGACGAGATGAAGTCCCAAATGCTACCTTCCTGTAGATAATGGTTATGAATCCATTTGATCCACAAGGAGTCCTTCTTGGAGTGGAGATCCCATAAGATCCTGACTAGCAAGGCAAGATTCCAATCCTTAAGGCAATACAGACCGAGACCCCCTTCCTGCTTAGGAGAGCAAATATCAGCCCAAGAAACCAACGGTTTGGACCTGCTAGAATTCGGCTTACCCCACAAGAAGTTCCGGCAAAGAGCAGTGATCCGATTGATAACAGAAACAGGGAAAGGGAAAATTCCCATCCAGAAATTGCATATACCCTAAATGACAGCTCTGATTAATTCAAGTTTCCCTGCATAAGAAAGAGTCTTTCTGTTCCAACCTTGCACAAGACCACTGATTTGAGATATTAATGGATCATAGTGAATCATATTTAATCTAGAAGACAGCAAAGGAACTCCCAGGTATCTAAAAAGGAAGGAGTCAAATTCAAAACCTGTGAGACGCTGCACCTCCGCTCGGGATTCAGAATCCATACCAGCAGAATAGATTGCAGATTTGTCAGTGCTGATAGATATGCCCGAGACCGAACAGAAATGGGAAAGTGCCCATACCAGCTTCATGTGTATATTAATTAAGGATATTATCCTCCATCTAATTCTAAAAGAAAGACATCATCGTAAGAGAAGCCCCTTTTTTTAACGTATTTCAAATAAGAGACAGCTGATTATGTGGTAAAACATATAAAGATTGATTAACATTTCAAGGCACGGACTTGGTATTTCTATCTATCAACAGCAAGATTTTGTATCAAGTTTAGCAAAGTGGAATCTCAACATTATGGTATTGGGAAAAGGAAAATAAAATCATTCAATTTACGGAGAGTATCGGTGTTGAGATATATAGTCCCACATTGGTTAGATGTGCAACTAATGTGGCCTTTATAAGGCCTTGGGCACTCCCACCCTTTGAGCTAGCTTTTGGGGTGGTGACCTCAAGGTTTTTTAACATGGTATCAGAGCCTCACCAAAGTTGGGCCTGTGCAATTCCACCCTTCTAGCCCAAAGGGCTCTTGCGTGAGGGGGCGTGTTGAGATATATAGTCTCACATTGGTTAGATGTGCAACTAATGTGGCCTTTATAAGGCCTTGGGCACTCCCACCCTTTGAGCTAGCTTTTGGAGTGGTGACCTCAAGATTTTTTAACAATCGGGTCGGGTTCATTACTTCGCGGTTTTGTGATTGATTATTATTGGGATCTCCTATTTACAAGTAAATGATTCTCGAAAGTCGAATCACATGGGGGGAAGAGTCAAACTTTGTATGCCTGCAAGTTCTCAATGATATTTAGAAGAATAAATATATAAAAAATAGGGAAAAATATTTGTCTTTTTAAATTACATAATTTATGTCATTTCACTCTCACAAAGAGGTAAGACTCACATCTTTATATTTTTTTATCCTCTCTCTCCTCCGTTATCTATCTCTTTCTCTCACTTAAAATGACACAACTTTACATCCTTTAAGATGATATATATTTTTCCCATAAAAATAACTTAATTATGTTAGTATATTTAAAATTTCCTTCTATAGAGTGAACTGGGTTCATTACCCAAAGTTTTTCGTGAAATTGACATAAAAAAATAAGCGAAGTGTTTAGAAATAATGTAAGAAAACTTAGTAGAAAAAATAATCAAAATATAAATAATTTTATCTTTTTATTGCAGAAAATAGAGGGCGAAAAGTTGTTTTTTTTTTTTTCAAAAAAAAAAAACGGACTCAAGCTTCAAATTGTAGAACTCTTTTAACCAGGAAAAAAAAAACTTCTTTTCATCAAATTAACATTTAAAATATTTGAAAAGATTTGGTCGTAATAAAGATTAGGATTACATCCTTGAAGCCATTATGACTTTGTGTTCACCAAGTATAAACTTATAAATTTAAGATTGCAAGATCACACTTTGAAGGTCTAGATTAGTTTGGGACAAAGGCTATAAAAAAGTGGTCATAGGAAGTGATTCGGTGTTAGTAATTACAATGCTTATCTCGCAAGCAATACTGAGAGTCTCACTTAGTTACTCTATTTAGGATTGGATCATTGGATAGTCAAGTTCCAACATATCTACACGGAAGGTAATAGCTGTGTTAATTGTCTCACAAATTACCAGAATTCTCCTGTATCCTCTGTGTTCCATCAAATTCCCTTAAACGGCTTCCTATGATATACCTTTCTGGTTTCTCTCACCTAGGGAGAACACATACTATTTGAATTTTGTGATTTTCTTCTTCAGCATCAGTTTACCAAAAAAAAAAACTAACTTAATTTTGTGCAAGAGCTTTAGCTCAAGTTGCACATGTTTCTTGATCTCGGGATCAAATGCCAAGTCATTTGGATTGTATTTTAACTATCATTTTCTTCTACAGTTCTACACATCACATTATACACCTCTTTAGCTAGCTATCAATCGTTGTCATAATTAACGGAAGACGTGTTCTCCACAGTGACTCTTACGATGATTGGGAAATGACCTCTTTCACAGGATTTGTGAAAAAAATTTGCTTCATAATGTAATATTAAATAATTACATCATGAGAATACATGCATTCAAAGCCTCAATAATTATGGGGTCACAAAGCAATTGTGTATTAGCTAATAATCGCCTTCTGCCACTAAGTATTGAGCATGGTGAGGTGTGTCTGTAATTTCAGGAGGTAATATATTCCAACTTCTGAGACGCCATTGTTAAAAAAATAAAATAAAAAAAATACAGTATTTATATCCATATATATGGACTTAATAATTGGACCTATATGGTAAATATTCGATTTGATTTGGTGATGTTGACTGCTGACATTGTGTTAAAAAGGAGAGTTTTCAGGAAGGGAGGTGTAATAAATTATGGAAATCATAAAATTAATGCAGGTAATTTAAATTTCATTACAAACTAATCACAAAATCAAATCCTGAATGTAGTGCAAAAGCTAGGAGTATGAAGTTAAAAAAACAGATGCAGTTTTTTTTTTTTTTTTTTTGATAACAAAACAGATGCAGTTTTGATATTGCCCTAATATACCACCGGTTATTTCATGCTTCTCCATCTTTGAGCCTTGCTTGGTTTACCTTGTGGGCTACTTTATCCTTTACGTTTCCGGTTGTGTCCTTAAAGTAAATATCAAGTGCGAGGGATGTAAATCAAAGGTGAAGAAGATCTTGCAGAACATTCGTGGTACTTTCTTATTTCTCTTGAGGTATTTGAATTATTGAAATTCATTCAGATTTCAGAATAATGTGAACTCAGAAAATGACTTATGCTTTTCTATTCATAATTATTGTAAACGAGGCAAAGAATAGTATTTCATTCGTGCTATCAACTTCTAAAAAACATGCATTAATTATCTTTCCATACATATTATTTTCAGGCAAGTACAGTATCACCGTTGATAGAGATCGATGGAGGGTCAGTGAAAGTTACAGGAAGATTAAACCCAAGTACATTATTGGGTGAGCTATAGGAAACATGAACAAGTCCGATCAAAAGTGATTATTTAAATCTTGTGATCAAAAGTTCGATCGTTAAAGAGATACTTTTATAAGAAACAAAAGCTACTTAATTAATAAGAAGTGATTAGGTTAAAATATGATGTAAAAGCTACTTTTTAAAGTGTTGTTTAGCTCATTAATAAGTAGTTTCCCTTACTTTGAGCTCTAATTGACCGTCAAAAGTAATCACATAATTATATAGGGAATTGTTTATCTCATTTAACATGAGATAAAACTATTTTCTTACGCTCACATATGCATGAGAGAGAAAAAGCATAATGGATCTCATCACTTAATATGTGTGGGTAGAAAAATTATTTTATCTCTAGTTCTCCAGTTATATATATCATTTACTAATTCTCAGCTGTTTTATTTTACTTTTGGATACAAAATGTCACCAAGATTTGAACATATGACTTAATGCAAATCCAAATCTCTTAATTATCACCAAACTAAGCCTATTGGATTGATTCTCAGCTGTTTTTAATAAAACCAAATCCACCAATCAATAAAAGTCCGGATCCAGAAAATTCTTGCAAACAAACTCTTGATATAAAATCTGTGATGTATATCTATTGTAATAGTAAGTATACAGCTTCCACTTCTGATTTTCTATATGAGACTCTACCTACCTCTGTTTTCAGGGGGCTAAGCCACTGAATTAAAAGACCCCATTTCATTATTGAGTATAGAATGCATTATTCTATCAAATAGATAATCGTATCATCTGTCTTCATCAATGTGATTTATGCATATACCCTCCTCCTGTGCTTAGTTTTACGTACACATCAAAAGTGACTTTCTTCTAAGCCATGCCAATCAATAATTTAGCTATAATAGTCACCTTGCCACACGATATGATGAACTCACGTGGAAGTTCAACTTGCCCCTTATATGTAACAATCAGTACCTTTCTTATTCTTCATCTCGGATTTGCTTTCTTTGTATTATTGCTTTAGTTATGCATGAATCGATGCTTTGTAGGACACAAGGACGGTCTTTCTTTCCTTTTTATCTAGAAGAAAGATATCTTAAATGGACTTTACTGCTATTATGTAGTTTTTGTCTCATGAGTTAGTCCCACTTTACTACTATTATGTAGTTTTTGTCCGGTGAGTTAGTCCCACAAATTTTGGAAGGGTCCTTCCACCCACCTTAATATCGCCCTACAGAAAGGAAAGATCAAACAAATCCATTTAATTTCTGAGAAAGACTTCACTTTGATAGAGAGAATCCACTTGAGAATTTTCTTCTTCGTGAGAAAATCCATTTAAGAGAGTGAAAATGAAAGGCCCATAATTTTCTTCCAAATCAGTGTGGGGCATTTACGGATTCTCGGCCATCTGAACCCTACCATGTAAGTAATTTGACAAACTCTAGGGTCACTTTCAGAAATAAAAGCGAATGTCTAAAGTTTTTTTGTTGCTACTAACTTGCTATAATTGTTTCAAGCTTCTAAGTTATCCTATTCTATATTAATTTAAGATCCGTTGTTAAGATTTCAATTATAAAATATAAAATTATTAATGTAACCTCACCCAACAATTTAAGCTTTTAGATTGAATTAGTTTTTTACATGATATTAGCTAGAGCCCTCACATCACGGGTTCAATTTTCACCGTCCCCATTTAATTAATAAATAATTAAGTATTATAGAGTTTGTTACGTATAAGTAGGTGGGTTTGTGCATTGTTCACCCTTCAAACCCAATGAACTCTCGTGTAAAATAGCGTATTAGAGAAATATAAAATAATTAATATAACATCATCCAACAACTTAAGTTTTTGAGTTAAATTGATTTTTTTACGTATCCTCTTTTGGTTTTACCCGAATGATATTAGAAACTTGAGCAAAGAAGCATAAGGTTACTTGAGCGCGACACTTAATAAACTTATCTAATTACCACTCAGAAATTTCACAATATAGTCTGTCATATATAGGCTAATTGTTTAAGGTGCCTTCAACTTCAAGTCTATTATGTTATGTATTAGCATTCAATAAGTACACTTACTCGAGAGACTACTTAGGTTTAAGATCGATCAGCAAAGGATTTGGTTTTAATTAGAATAAATAAGCTCTCTCAAGTATTGGACCTTTGAACCTTAAACAACTATGTGTCTAAACTTTATAATTCGTGGGCCATGTTCCGGTTTGATATTTGTGAAACTCCATTTTCATGGGGTCGTCTTATTTTGGGTGCATGCGATCATTAACTTGCATTTGCTCCTAGCCTCTATATGAGTCTTATCCGTACGTACTTTAATCTTTCAAATGCATAAAAAGTGAATTCCAACGACGTGGGAGCTAATTTGTTTTTGAAAGGAGTGAAATTGAAAAGAACAAAAGGACCGGGGTAATAATAATGAGATAAAGAACACTTTTTAGATAAAAAATTATCCCTATGCTTATATATACCTAAATATTTAAGCTTTCTGTACCAAAAAAAAAAATAAAAAAAAATAAAAAAATATTTAAGCTTTCGTAAGACCTGGTTTTATTATGCTTGCACTTTGCACTTTGTACGTTGATGGGAATCATATCTGCATAACATTCTTAACTATCAGTAACATCAGTATAGCTATTCACCGATTGTCTAAACTAGTGAACTGTATCAATCAGACTTGGGACCGTACCGTTTTCTCTGACTAATACAATCGCTTAATCCTTTTCAATTATTTGGAATACTGTTTAATCATGCAGATGGTTAACTTCAATCAAGTTCAACAGGTGTTCTTCAAGACACCCACCTGTTGACCAGACAGTAATATAAATACTAATAACCAAAGACGTTAGAAATAGTACTGACCCACTTCTTAAATACGAATCCTTGTTCCTAAATCATTTGTTTTTGTTTTCATTCAGATTACTAATTTTTGTTTAATAAAAGAATTGGAACTTATAAAACATTTAGTATAAATTAATTTCTCTCTTGCACGTTAAATCATGGCTGACATCTATATATCATTTCTGTTCATATGCATGGCATTATATGTTATAATTAAATCCTGCAATCAATGCATTGCATAGCTTAACGTGGAAGGGGGTCCTTTTGATTTTGTCCTCAAACTGTGACATATATGTGGATTTACTCCGTTGACTTAATTAGTGATCATGTTCTTAGATTATGGCTGTACAATGTAAACAGAAATTTCGTATGCAGAGCTTGCAACCATGGTGGAAAAGCAGAGAAATCGTTTCACAAAATTATAGGGATAACGTTTCACAAATAACTAGGCCTCCCAAGAAAAAGGTCCAAAAGAAAAAAAAAAGAAAAAAAAGAAAAGAAGATCATGGTTGTTAATGTTACTTAATCAAACCACAACTAATTGCCGTCGAGCTTCAACTCTTAGACCCTCCTTCATCTTTCTAATGAAATCATCGAATTTTTTGTTCAACTCCTCCGTGCTTAACGTGCAGCTTTCTTCTTCTACATCTTCTTCCTCATCAATGTTTTCTTCAATCAGAACGTAATCATTTTCTGACTCTTTGTCTTCATCTTCATCTTCTGCATCAAATACTTCTTCTTCGTCTAGATCCTTCTCCTCTTCTTTTAAAACTAATTGACTACTTCCTTTTCCTTGTGCTTCATCTACCAAAATTATCTTTTCAATGTTTTCTTGTACTTCTTCTTCATAACAGTTTTTTATTTCTATTGCTTCCTCTGCTACAGTGTTCAGCTCATCAGGCTCACTAGTTTTATCCTCGGCAACTATCTCTAACATTGGCTTGTTGGCTTCAACATCTGAGAACTGAGATTGTGAACCTTCTTCAGTGTACTTTGAAGGTTCATGATCACCGCTAGAACCATAGAAAGATTTAGTTATACCAACAAAAACTAGGAGCCCATTGCAAAGGAGAAACATGCAGTTCTTGTCTACGTTGTGGGTAAAGAGTTGGAAAGGGAATGTAGAGAAATAAAACTTAAAGTAATGGAAGAAAATAAGCAAGGAAGAAGGTGAAACGATGATGGAACACACAGATACTGAAAGGAATAATTGAGTAAGCTTAAATAGATAGTAATGAGCTTTTATGCTGTGTGTCAAGGCTGCAAGATCCATAGTGTCCACTATGGTGAAGAAAGGAAATAAAACTAGGGAGGGTTTGTAAATGGAGGTTGCTATGAAATGAGGTGGTTGGTGTAAGCCATGAAGGCCTTCTTATATATTATGATGGAGTGATTTTAGGTTTTTATTTTTTTATTTTTTAAATTTCCAAAAATACAAATAGGCAAATTATTATGAGGCAGATGGCACATTAAAGGCTGTCCAAAGGCTCACCTACTATTCATGGGATTTTGTCATAAATGAAGATAACTACTTGTAAGGGTGAGTAGCACATTTTCAAAGTACTAGTTGTCACATAAAATATTGACAAATTATATCTTCATACTCACCAATTTGCGGTTTACTTGTCAAGTAGCATTCATTTGGGGTTTGGGGCCAAAAACCCACAGGGGTGTGAAATTATCACGTCCATGTACATGTGTGATAAATATGTGATATAAATATGTATTTATGTGGTTGCCAATTAATCAGAGTGGCTAAGTCTAGGATGCATAACATGGGTTTGTCACGGTTTACAAACTCGAATACCAACCTCCATTTCACTGGGCTGGTACAAACCAATCAATAATCATTAACTCTCATATTAGAGTTTTTTTCACTTATTATGTTTCATACTTGGCTCATCCTCATTCATATTAGACTTTATTATTCATACTTGAATTTTCAATACCTAAAATTCTCATGGCCTGGTTTGGGGAAAACTCTGCCTTGGGAACATTATTTGGGTGTTGGGATTGGTGAACCCTTCAAAATTCTTGGAGTTGCATCTCTTTAAAAAAAATAAAAAAACGCTCTCGAATAAATCCAAATGACTTGGCTAAATTGTGGTTGGTTCTTTTATCAATCAAAACCTTGAGATGTGAGCTAATAGACTAATAACAATAATATGATTTATACCACTTTTGTTTCTGCTGATGTTCTCATCATGAATATATTGAAATTATGCAGTACGTTATTTGGGATAACTCACTCATCATTGTCACTGAAGCAGCGTTGTAAGTTATGCATGAGAACATCATTTACACTTTTGTTTCTTCACTTATTATGTTTCATACTTGGCGTATTCTCATCTATAATATTAGACTTTATTGTTCATACTTGAATTCTCAACACCTAAAATTTTCATGGTTTGGGGAAAACTCTGCTATTGGAAACTTATTTGGGTGTTTCGATTGGTGAACCCTTCAAAATTCTTGGTGTTGCATCTCTTTTGAAAATTTTGAAGAAAAAAAATGCTTGCGAATAAATCCAAATGACTTTCTAATTGTGGTTGGTTTTTTATCTATCAAAACCTTGAGATGTGAGCTAATAGACTAATAACAACAATATGATTTATAATACTTTTGTTTCTGCTAACGTTCTTCTAAAAAATTAATTTAACCAAAAAATTTAGGCTTTTTGACCCTTTTGCCCCTCATTAATTAATTAATAACCAATTTGCCCCTCCCCCAGAACTATCCACCATCCTGCCCCATTTAGTAGAGCAAGTTGCACTTTTAATCGACTAAATGAGCAAAATTCAGAAATCAAGAAACACGAATTTTAGTCGACTAAATATTCACCTTGATCGGCTACATGTCGAACACATTTAGTCGACTAAGGCCATTATTTAGTCGACTAAATATCGCGGATCAGGTTTTTTAAAACCCCCCATTTCGCAAAGGGGGTCATTTTCAAACCCTAGTCGACTAATTTCGCTCCAAGAACCCCTCTCTTCAACCAAGTCCGAATCTCATCCCTTGAAGGTCTGATTGAAGCATCATTGGTTCACAACTTGCGAAATTGACATTGTAGGTAACGTTTTCCGACTTGCATTTGGTTTTAGGTTTAGGTTTTTTTTTGTTTTCTCACGACTTTGGATTCTGTTTTTTTAAATTTCTTGTTTATGGTAGAAGGTTGTTTGCGGTTTTGTGGCTTTAGGTTAGGGGTAGGCTGTTGAGTTTGATGTGAGGGTAATTGACTAGGGTTGATGTGGTAGCTTAGGGTTAAGGTTAGGGTAAGGGCTGCTGTTTTGTTTGGGGTGTAGGGTTAGGGTTCCTGTTTTTATGTTAGGGTATAGGATTGTTTTTCCTGTGATGGGTTAGGGTTAGGGTTGCTGTATTTGATTGGGTTTAAGGTTTACGTTCCTGTTTTTATGGTAGGGTATAGGTATAGGGTTTGTTTTATGTTTTATTTTAGGGTTAGAGTTTAGTTTTTTATATTGAATTTTAAATTTTTTTGATATTGTTTTTGTCCATTGATATTGTTTCCACTTGCATTGTAGGTACCGTTGTTCCCATGGCTGGGCGTAGAAGATCGGATAACGTGGTAGGGTATACCCTCTCCTGAATAAGAACTGGTTTCAGAGATGGATCTTCTTTTAACATACCTATACAAAAATCGAAGTCAACACAATCAATAAATATACCGTAAAAATAACGTAAACATAAACCCTAAACCAAACATCGCGTAATACATACTTATAATGGCTGCACAGATTACATCAGAACCCAGCTGTCTATGGTCCCGGGTAAGGCCTTGGTTTAGGCAGGTGTGTTCTTTACCCCACTTACTAACAACCCAAGTATTTCCATTCTTGGGTAACATAGCCCGCACGTACTAGGGACAACCATCATTATGGTGTCGACACTTCATCACAAATCTATGGTCATCACTTTTTGCCACCACAGCAGTACGATGAGACTTCATACAATATAATTTGACTGCATGTTGCATTTCAGATTTAGTTCGAAACTCCTGGTACAAATAAAATGGATCCCCTAAATGCCAGCAACCGTGGAAGTCATCCTCGCCATACAATATCTCTGTCTCATCATTAGGGTGAGCCCAATTAATGAAGGAATAATGTGAGCTTTCGTTCCAAAACGGCTCAATATCGGAACCTACGTCCAAATTCCAGGAGTTTTTCGTCAGTACGATTGATAACACAAATATGAAATATTCATTTAAAACCTTAATTTACTATCTTACCACTGCTAACAGGGTCAACACGGAGTTGGTGGCATCACCTGGGAACTCAAATTTCCTGAACTAGTGTCAGCGTCAAAATTCCCCTCTACGTCCGTATCTGAGGTGTCACCCAACGGAATAACACTCTCGGGTTCACCATCGTCTTCACTGTCCATATCCTCCTCATGCTCATCCTCATCCTCGACTATTTCCCTCAGTGTTATCTGACTTAAGACAGGTGCAGGCGCAGATAAACCGACCACTCTATCTTCTTGACTTTGACTTCTTTCATGTATAGGTGCAGATGAAGATTGCCCACAGTCTATTTCAACATATATCTCAATAAAGTTTTGAAATTTTCGGTCCACGATTGCATCTATGACACATTCCACATCTTCATCGTCACAAATATCATTACCAATGTATAATATAGCATCCTTACCAACTGTAGACTCTACCCTGGCGATCATCCGTTGAACGCACTGGCTGCCTTGTAGCCCCAATATTTGGTGAATCCTCCCCTTAAGCTCATTGTTCATAGTGCCCTGTTTGATTTTCAACATTTTCGTTTTTTTCTTCAAGTTGAACACCGTTGGGGCCTTCATAATGCTTTCCATCATAGTAAATCAGGGTAACATACATGTTTGGACTTGAGCTCATCTTTCACACGAATTTAGGGGTAGGAATCGAATTTTAGGGTTTTTGGGTTCGGATTTGGGGGAAACAAATCAGAAAATAAGGAAAATGATAATGATTTCACAATTACTATGCTTTAGAGATGGTGGGATGAAATGGAAAGGTGAATGGAAGGATCACAAATGACAAACAAGAGAAATAGGGGTTTTGATTTCGAAAATATTGCAAATGAGACCGAGAGAGGTCTGGATATAGGGTTTTCTGCGATATTTAGTCGACTAAATAATGGCCTTAGTCGACTAAATGTGCTCGACATGTAGTCGATCAAGGTGAATATTTAGTCGACTAAAATTTGTGTTTCTTGATTTCTGAATTTTGCCTATTTAGTCGATTAAAAGTGCAACTTGATCGACTAAATGGGGGCAGGATGGTGGATAGTTCTGGGGGAGGGGCAAATTTGTTATTAATTAATTAATGAGGGGCAAAAGGGTCAAAAAGCCAAACAAATTTAAGTTATTGGGTAATATTATATTAATGATTGTATATTTTTCCTAATACGCCGCTCACATGAGAGCCCATTGGACTTGAATGATGAAGATGCATGAGGCCGAACCTATTTGTGATAAGAAATTTCATAATATTTAATTATTTTAATTAATAAAATAAGAGTTGTAAAGATCGAACTCGTAACTACTTTCCGGAATCATTTTTTTTTAATTTCTGTTCCCGGGAACATAAATTGATAGAAAACTCATTTGGTAAAATCAGTTTATTTTTTTTGTTCCTAGGATGAACCGGTTTATTTTTTGTGCTGGGAAGCAGAAAAATGAATCAAAAAATTTATGCTTTTTGTTCTCGGACACAAAATGAGAAACACTTATTTTTCTCAATCACTCTTCACCACTATCATTATCATCATCACCACCATCATCCCGACACAACCATCGCCGTCGTTGTACTACTAATGTTGTCGTCACCACAACTAGCACCATGACGACGATGCCACCGCCATCATTACCACCACCACCACCACGACGATGCAATCGCCACCGCCACCACTACCATCACCCTCACCAACCACGACTACCATCATCACAACACTATTATCACGACCACCATCATGCTACCACCACCATCATCGCCATCGCTACCACCACTTCCACCACCGTCACCAACCACCACTACCATCGTCGCAGCCATTGCCATCACCACCATCATCGTAGCCACTGCTATCACGACCACCATCATGCCGCCACCACCACCATCGCCATCGCTACCACCACTTCCACCACCGTCACCAACCACCACCACCATCGTCGCAGCCATTGCCACCACCACCATCGCCATCGCTACCACCACTTCCACCACCGTCACCAACCACCACTACCATCGTCGCAGCCATTGCCACCACCACTATCGCCACAACCACTGCCATCACCACCACAACATGCATCACCACGCCATTGCCACCGCCACCGTCACCAACCACCACCACCATCGTCGCAGCCACTGTCGTCACCAACACCACCATGCCATCACCACCACCACCACCATGCCACCACTACCACGCCACCACCACTATGTCGACACCATCACCACCATCACTGCCGCCACCGCTATCGCCACCACCATCATCGCAGCCACTGCTATCACGACCACCACCACCGTCACCAACCACCACTACCATTGTCGCAACCGCAGCCACTACCATCACCACTACATCGCCACCACCATCGTCACCATCACCACCATTATCGCGCCACCACCGCCACCAATCATCACCACCATCGTCGCAGCCACTGCCATCACCACCACCACCATGCCATCACCACTATGCTGCCACCATCTCCATATCCACTGCCGTTACTACACCACTACCACGACTATCATCACCATTGTCGCCGCCACTACCACCACCACACTATATGGAAAGGAAAGTGATGATTTAAAAAAAAATATGCTTAATAGAAATTATTTTTTATTATATTATTTGTTGTATTATCAAACACACTTCTCATTCTCAGAATAAAAATAGAACATATTATCAAACACATTTTTTTCTTTCTCAGAAACTGTTCTAAGACACAGAAATAGAAAAGAATTGTTTCTTTTCAGAAACAGTGTTAAGAAACAGAGTAGTTGTCATGCACACCCTTAATCACGCCAGTTGTGATATCATTTCAATTCTTAAACTATTATGTGAACTTTTTAGGCTTTTTGACCCTTATAACCCTTTATTATTAACTAATTACCGATTTGACCTTGATTATAAACTATTTCAAAAATTTAACCCCCTCAAAAAACATAACACCAATCTGCCCCTGTTTGACCGTTGACCACCAAGCCTACCCGGGTACACCCCTCTGTACCCGGTATTTTTTGAAAATTTTTGTCTACCCGGGTAAGGAGGAGTGTACCCGGGTATTGTTCTTCGTACCTGAGAAATTGCTTGAATTATTTACCCGGGTAGGGAGGGGTGTACCCGGGTAAATCTTCGACCACCTATTTGGTACTTACTATAACTGGGGCAACTTGTAGCTGATGGATATAAGAACAGATATGATTTATTTGATTTTACCACAAGTTAATTATATTTGCGGATGTGTAATTAATTGTTTCATGGTAATTTTTTTTTCTCTCTTTTTTACAGCTAATGAGATAGATCAGTATTATCAAGTTAAGCATGCCTAACCAATTTGAAGAGCTTTTAGCTTTGAGAATGGATTTGGAATTTCCATACATCAACACTTTACTGCTCATCAAAGCGGTCCCTGTTCGTATCGATTATGATGGGGTCTACTTTTATAGTGTTAACTGAGAATTCCCTTTCTAAAATAATCATTGAAAAATATTTGTGTGCTTTACAGACCCAAAAAAGTTGCAGAGGCGGAGCATGTGATAGTGGGTGCCTCCATATTCAAAGCTTGGAGAAGAAGAGTGCATGGGAGATCCAAAGAGTAATCATACCCGGGTGGTCGAAGATTTACCCGGGTACACACCTCTCTACCCGGGTAAATAATTCAAGCAATTTCTCAGGTGCGAAGAACAATACCCGAGTACACGCCTCCCTACCCGGGTAGACAAAATTTTTCAAAAAATACCCGAGTACAGAGGGGTGTACTCGGGTAGGCTTGGTGGTCAACGGTCAAACAGGGGCAAATTGGTGTTATGTTTTTTGAGAGGGTTAAATTTTTGAAATAGTTTATAATCAAGATCAAATCAGTAATTAATTAATAATAAAGGGTTATAAGAGTAAAAAAGCCGAACTTTTTAAGTAATAGTTCTCGTCATGAATAAATTGAATTATGCACTGCGTTATTTGGTATAACTCACTCATCATTGTCACGGAAGCAGCATTGTAAGTTATGCATGAGAACATCATTTACACTTTTGCATCCGCCGTACCTAACAAAGACAACATATTATTGAAACTATAAAAAGAAAAAGAAGAATAGACAAACACTGCATTAAAAAAATGCATTGTGTATTCAAAAAAATAAAATAAAATAAAAAATGCATTGTAAAGCCTGGGGAACCTGGTTTCCCATCTGAACTTTGCATGAAATCGATCGTAGGACTAAATTTTCATATTATATATGGGGAAGGATATTGTGACAACTAAGTTATGTTACTACCAAGTGACTACCAATCAATCTCACCGTTAGATCGATTATGTTGATCTAACAGTTATATTTATTTCCATCTTTGTATGGTCATGATTCCCCATATTTAAAGTGAAAGTATTAAATATGGGAAATCATAACCATACAAAGGTGAAAATAAATATAAAGTATTAAATTTGGGGAATCATGACCATACAAAGATGGAAATAAATATAACCATTGGATCAATATAATTGATCTAACGGTAAGATTGAATGGTAGTCACTTGGTAGTAACACAACTTGGTTGTCACAATATCCTTCTCCGTTATATATTACAAAGTTAACTTTTACACTGTGACAAGGATTGCTTATGTTTTAAGCTTCTATTGCTGTACTATTTTTTATTTTCTGGAAGGGGATGAGATGCATTAATAACTGAAAGGAAAAATTGAGAGTGTACTAGGTAAAAGGAACGACTAAAAACAATTAAAATAGCGGAAAAATCATTATAAGCTCATCCATTAATTTTAGTGTTCATAATGCTCTTAGCCTGACAATAAACCTTTTTTATTGTGAGATAGAATTTACACATTTCGTTTGATTTTCTAATGGGAAATAAAACAGTAAAATATAACTTACACACCCGAATGAATATCAATGAAGTCTACCTGATCCTTAGAACAACATAGGGACTTAATTAAAATAAAACTATAAAAAACTAAGGGGTTTGCATTTATCATTTAACATGACACAACAAAATTTCTTACACACACAACATTTTGTGGGGTTCACACTTTTTGAAACAAAAAAAAAAACTACGGCACGCAAAACGAATCTCTATAACATTACACAGTCACTTTTCCTATAACATAACTCTTATAAAACCCAAAAACTAATTATAAACTTTTAAAATATAAGAACTTTAACCTGAATATTTTTATACATATTTCTAAGGGTAATATTTCTCTCAAATTGTATGAGATGAAATTTTTTTTCTGCACTCACATAGTCACATCAGTAATTGAGTTATTGTTTTTTTTTGTCTCTCCTAAAGGACCCCACAATTAGTTGAGTGTCTGAGAAAAATTTCTCTCTTATGCAACGAGAGAAATATTACTCTATTTCTAAACATAAGAACTGATTTCTATATAATATTACAATAAATTAATTCTAATTTTAACATTTCCAAATACAATGCAGCGCTTCATATCGATTACCCGCGTGCCAATTACATAATCGTTGTTAACAAATGCCCTTATAGAAGAAACAAAATATTTGGTAGTAATGTAAATTTGTAAGTCCCGGTTATATTTTTCTTTAATCCCTTCCTTATAAGTCAGGGAAATTTGATTTCATAAAAGTTATCGATACATTTTTTTATATGATTAAATTTATTTTTATTTTTACATTGTTAATTTTTCTTTGTATATAGAAAAATGCCTTTTTATCTGTTTTTTTTTTTCTTTTTTTTCTTTCAGCGATTTGGTTTTCTAGCTATACTATCCATTCCGTTTTGACGCCCATACGCTGGTTGATTTGTAGGTTCTGACTTCCAGTTCTCAGTTTTCAGTTTTTCAACAATATAATGATTGTGATGATTTTAAGTTTTTAACTATTTCTCTCTTGGTTCATGGACCATGGACGATTATTTTTTTTTGGTGGATTCTTTTCAATATACATACAAATATTGTTGGGCCACTGTTAATTGGGCTTTTGCAACTAAGATCCAGTTATTCTGCAGATCACGCATAGGCTACTTTGTAAACAAACAAAACAAATAGTTTTTTTTTTTTTTTTCCTTTTGCTCGTGAAATAATCAAATTTTATTTGGGAAATATGTTTCATTAGATATGAAATTATCTCCACATTTCGATAAAAAAAAAACAGTGTTATGAAACCCGGACCGACTCGGCCGGGTCGACCCGAGAACCGGTAAACCAGTCCGGTTGAAGCAACGGATCGGTTATGCATCAGAATCGGTGTGACTCGGTCCGACCCGACCGGTTAAAATAAATAAATCATAATGGACATATTTGAATATTTTTTTGCTTATTGACTTACATAAGTTATGTACCTACAACATTAATATTATTTCAATTATGCATTATGCAAAAAATTTTGATTTGATTTATAGTTAGAGATGTCGTTTTCTTAACCTAAAGTCCTGTATCGCAATCAATATATTTTTGTTTGATCTTTTATTGGATAATAATATGTCATTTATTATTTTTTATATTAAAATATTTGAAATTTTTTAGATATTTGAGTATGTTTATAATTTTTTAATATAAATTATAAAATTGCATATAATTGTCAAGTCATGCGGTTGAACCAGTGACCCACTGGTTAAACCAGTGATCCAATACCTCGTCCGAGCCGATTTTAATAACATTGGAAAAAAATATAGGATGTTTTAAAAAATTTATTCATCTCTTATAATATAAAATTTTAAAGAATTTATATTTTCTAAGTCGAAAAGGAGAAAGGCTAAACTTATTTTAAATATGAGGTAATGAAATGAAATTTTAGGACAAAGAGAATATACCATAAGAGGCTCCAAAATCCAAATAAATAAGAAATAATGGAATAGAAGCTGCTAGCCAACGGCAGCACAACTGATCGGGTGGCTCTGCATTTCGTAAAAGCAGACCCAAAACCCTACTTGAACCCTTCTCACGTCACTCTCACTCTCTCCTCCGCACAAACATCACAACTATGTCTTTGGGAATTCTTCGATCGCGAGCCATTTCTTTCGCATCGAAGCGATTCCTCTGCACCAATGCGGCTTCCGCTTCCGCTCCTCTTCCTTCTCCTCCTTCCGCCTCCTCCACTAACCGCTGGAACTTCCTCAAATACGCCGTCGTTGGTGCACTCACCGGAGCCACCGCCTATACCGGTTACGCTTCTTACGGTTCGTTTTATTATTTTATTTTTATTTTCATTTCTTGTTCTTTCTTTTTACTGTGCTTGTTCTTCTTCATTTCAATTTACAGAGTAGCCATTTAGGGTTCACTATCTTTGGTTGTGTGTGTTTTGGAGTAGCCACTTTGATATGTTAGTGTTGTTATTGAATCATGTTGATCTGGAAATGATGATTAAAGTTGAAGAGGTATTTTTTTTTTTTCCCGTTGGATTGCAATGTGCAGCCTACAGTTTGGACGAAATAGATGAGAAAACGAAGTCTTTCCGTGAATCGGTCAAGTACACTGCAGGTGATGGAGCCACTGCTCTCGACGTGAGTGCTGACTACTTCTTAAGCTTTCTTCACATTCATTCATTTTTGCTAAATCTATGTTTAATCTTATTTTCTAGCATGGGTTGATTTGTTAGAATTATGCGGGATTGATGAAATGGCTCTCTGTATGTTGCTTCTTTTTATTTTTAGAGAGAGAAGAGTGAAAAGATGATTGAAACAAGTACAATGCTACGTGCCTACTATGTATACACAGCTAGGAACAAAATCTAACAAACTACTTCTACCAGACTAATAAACTCATAGAAACAGTTACACATCTACTTAAATAATAACCCACGTGACTGAAAATATAAAGGTGATAACACACATGCAATGGATTGAGTGTCAAAATTCTTGCTCAGAGTTTACTTTTGGCCCCATTTCATCAATTTATTTTTGGGGTTGTCTTTTAGGATATAATACTTTGATACAATGGTTTTTGATCATTTGTATAAAAGACTTTAGTTATATCAGATTAAAAATTCTTTTATTTAGCTTCTCGGAAATGCCCTTGGTGGATCTTCTGCATGGTTTTGACAGGATAATTTATCATTGTTCCTTCATTCTTAATATATTAATGAGCCAAAACATTAGTAGGATGACATGTTCTGGTCCATATTTTGTGCAGAAATTTCAAGGATTGCTATACTCAACTGCAATGACAGGTGGGTTTCATGAGCTTTATTCTATAGATCACTTTTATTGGTGTTGTTCTGCTGCTTTAAATAAATAATTTGTGTTCTCATTTCTTCATGTGATTTTCTCTTCCCTCGGATTGTTGCTGTTATGAATGGAATGGATGAGTTAATAATTTAGATGTTTCTATGTTTTTCTTTTTGTGATTCTGTGAAGTGCTCCTGGTTATGGATAAGCATGAACTTCTTTTTATTTTTTTCATCAACTGAAAATAACAGCATGTAGGGGTCCCTTGGAGAAAATGTTGTTTGCATGAGTATTTGGTGCAATCAATACTTTTATAATATAGTTAATGGTAATTTTCAGATACACCATGGGAACTGTCCAATTGTAGCAATAATATGCCCCTACTTCCACTGCAGAAATATTTGCAAATGCATGAGAATATGGGATATGTGCATGGTTCTTGCTTGCCTTCTTCTTTGGAAGGGAGGGGTTAGGGAAGGAAAGTGGCAAGAACTTGTTGTATTGCTCAGGAAGACTGGTGCAGACAAATATATATATTGGGTTTTTTTTTTTGGGGTGGGGTGGGGTTTAAAGTCCTAATTGCATAAATATTTGTATGGCTTTGTTATTAACAGCATGCTGATTCTTTTGCAAGTAATGTCTCAGTTCCTGCTAAAGCTGTAGAACTTTATTTGGATGCAAGAAGGCTAATTGAAGAACAAGTTAGGGTATGTACATACTTTTTCTTCTGAGGTTTTTGTTTTTATGCTTGTCTTTTATATTTAAAACATATGTTCTCTATCTTTGTCTTAATACTCTGCTCTTCTTGCTTCCTTTTAGAGTTATACCGAACCGTACACAGACAAGCTCCTTCCTGATTTGCTTCCTCAGGAGCGTCATGTGTTTACACTTGTTCTAGATCTCAATGAGACATTGATCCACTATATTTGGACTGTAAGGCTTGAACTGTAAATGCTGCAAATTTTTTGTTGTTGGTAGAAAAAAATATGAAAGATCTTTTAAATGAACACAATTTGATTGGTAGTGCTATGGTTTTTTGAGCAACAATTTCCTTTATACACTGCGTGTCACACAAAACAGAAGTGTCGGGCCTCTTATTACCTTGCTACTTGTTAGTGCACCTTACATATTGTAGATATCTGACTATAATATTGACTTTTGTTTTTACATGATATGTAAAGCGAGATACAGGGTGGCAGACTTTTAAAAGACCTGGAGTTGATGCTTTCTTGGAGCATCTAGCTCAATTCTATGAAATTGTGGTGTATACAGATGAACAAACCATGGTAATTGGATATTGCTTCTCCATATTCTGAATGGATACTTATTATTTATTTTGAGTTTTCATATGTTCTTGCTTTTGTTGATTTGAGCAGTTTGTAGACCCTGTTATTGAGAGGCTGGATACCAAGCATTGCATTAGAAATAGGCTATCAAGGCCAGCTACTAAGTATCAGGATGGGAAACACTACAGAGTACGTCTTAGTTTATATTCTTCTTGTGTTATTTTCTCTCAAATTGTATATGTGAATACCTGTGGCTAGAGTACCACCATTCATGACAAATAACAGAGAACAAATGCCTATGAAATATTATATATAATGTAATAGTGAAAAGTAATTTTACTTGCAGCTGAAGAATATAAATAACAGACCTACAGTTTTATGTCCTATGCCCACTCCTGTCTTTTTTTAATGATACTACACAAATGTAATGGCGTTTTCAATAATCTTATAACAAGTTGTTCTTTCTTTTTTTCTCTCCTTGCTTGACAGGACCTTTCAAAACTAAACAGAGATCCAGCAAAAGTTCTTTATTTTAGTGGCCATGCTTTGGAAAGTTGCCTTCAACCTGAGAACTGTGTTCCTGTTAAGCCATGGCAGCAGAATGATAAAGATGACACCTCTCTTTTGGATTTTATACCATTTCTTGAGTGTAAGCATTCCTTTAGATGTGTTGAACAAATGAATTAATGTTTTAAATTATTGTTTTGATTTTCATACGATTCCTTGAGTGTAAGTGCATTACCCTAAGATGCGTTTTTTATGCTTGTAAAAATTGTAGCACCTTCTCTGTTATCTCTGTGCAGTTGTTGCCCGTAGCAGTCCAGCTGATATAAGACCAGTGCTAGCGTCTTACCAAGGATGTGATATTCCAACTGAATTCATCAAGCGTTCCAAAGATTATCAGAGGTAAAATCCTAATCATTAGCAAAGCTTGAAGGTTAGAGGATTTTCATCATTTCCTTCACAAAATTTTGAAAATAGGAAATAGAATGAAAACAAGGTAAATTTTTTGTAACTTTGATGAAAACATATCAACTGAACATGGGGGGCGTTTGGTTTGTTTTCTGTTTTTTATTTTCGGTTGATATGTTTTCACTGGTGATTACAAAACGCAATCTTGCTTTGATTTTGTGAAGAAAATAGTGAAATCAAGATTTTGTTGTTTTCGCCATTCCTTTTAAAAAATTTCAAAACAAGAAACAAAATGAAAACAAGGTAGCATTCACTGTAATTATCAGTGAAAACGTATCAACTGAAAATGATGTAATTATCTGTGAAAACATATCAACTGAAAATGAAAACAGAAAACAAACCAAACACACTTTTTATCTAGTTATGATAACTGTGGTTTTATGCACCGTAGGGTCAACCATTTAATTTGTGGATTTATGTGTATTGAACTTCAAAAGATTCCCATTAAGCATGGGATGCAGAGTTGATTATATTTGTTGAGGAAGTTTATGTATTCCCTTATAAAACAATGATTAAATTACTGTCAATCTAGCATTATATATAGATTGTTTTCATGTTGGTGGTTGAAGGCTTCTTTTGTTTATATAATTAGTTGATGCTACAATGTTGATTCATCCTGTCTTATTCAACCAACATTTTTATTCCGGGTGTTTCCAAATGATGCAGGAGAATGCAAGAACAGAGGCATCGGGGTCGCTTCTGGTGAAATTGATCCAAGAATAACACTGAATTGAATAAAAAATGTTCTTCTTGGTGACTAGGAAATGGGATTGTCAACTTCATTGCAAGTTGATTGGTGAATTCGTCAAAGACTTTGAAGTCAGTGCAAGTTGATGAGTGATTACATCAAATATAGAAAATGTGGATTTTGTTTTACGTGAGTGTTGAACCCCAACTTTTGAACCATCAATTTTATTTTATTTTTGCCTATATTTCTGTTGTTGGAAAGCACCTATTAGTTGTAGAGGATGAATTTCTTTTTCGTCTGATAGAAGAATGAGTTCTTTATGCCAGATGTTTCTTGCTAGGTGAATATCTGCCCAGAAGTGGCTATGGATGAGTTTGGCCATCTCAGTTGCACAGATTATCCAACTGACATAATAAAAGATTTTACTTAGATTTGGTTATAATTGATTTTCTTTTATATACTTGATCTAGTTATAGCGTTTATCAGAAGTGAATATAAAAAGAAAATCAATTATAACTCGTAAAATCTTTTATTATGTCAGTTGTATAATCTGTGCAACTGAGATGGCTAAATTCATCCATAGCCACTTCTGGGCAGCGATTCACCTAGCAAGAAACATCTGGCATAAAGAACTCATTCTTCTACCAGACGAAAAAGAAATTCATCCTCTACAACTAATAGGTGCTCTTTCCAACAAAATAAATACAGGGAAGATTGATTTTTTTATACAACCTCCAATGCATGAAGTGATGACTTGTATAGCATGTTTGGAATTATTATCTTCCCAGAAATAATTATTCTTTTTCAAAATTGTCTCAAAAACTGTAAAAGAAATGGGGTTCTTTCAGCTCAAAATAAATGTACTTAAACACCTTTTTAGTTATAAAGTATATATTGTTATGATTATGGAGATATAATTAACGGGATTTTAAAAATTAATGATCGATGTGATTGGCTCTAAGAAAATTGGATTATGGATGGCAACAAACTGAACTTTGCTTGTTAATTTTTACTCGAGGGATTAGAGGTTAGAATAATTTTTTTTAAAAACGCTGTTAGTATTGATTAATTAATTTTCATTTTTCACTGTATTTTTGGTAATATTCGAAATAAGTGCTTGCCGTTCTTATTCGTTAGTATACTAGTTAAGAGACGAATAATGTTTCATTTTTTTTAATTATTGTTGTTTATTTTAAAGGTTTAATTTTATGAATGCTCCTTAAGTCTCGAGAGTGTTATATTTATAAATTTTTATAAATTATATTATGTATTAGAGGTAGTATATTGTGTGTTGGAATGTATTATCCCTAATAATTTGTAAGAGTTTATAAATAAAAAATTTATAAATATAATTTTTTCTATAAGCGGTTATAATTTATTGAAATATATTAATTAATTAATTATTAATTTTTAGTAACTTACAATCATTAAATATACAAAATTTGATAACTAAGTAAATTCAAATATTTTACTCACGACATTTTTATTAACATTTTTTTAATTAACTCACATCATATAATTTAATTTGCAAGTAATATTTAATCTATTCAAATTGATATTAGATGAAAATTAAAATTTTAAATAACAATTTTGTTTAAGAACATTATTTATTTGTCTTAAAATTGAATATATAACTTGTTAAATAAATTTGGAATATTAACTAATTTTGTGACATATTTTAGTTTTGATTTTATAATTAGACAGCCTTCAACTTTTTAAAACTTAAAATTGTTTAGAATAATGGATTAGGAAATAATTACATAGAAAGTCAAATTTTATTTGATAATGTGAAATATATATACAAAATGACAATATGAAATTTTTTACATTCACTGTTATATAAAGTATACAGGTTTTTTACCAAAAAAAAGAAAAAGAAATGTATACAGGTTTTCTTGTAAAATAATTTGCATTTAGGATACAAAAATAATAATAATAACAACTTGCATTTTATCTTAACATACTCGTTCTTAAAAGGCATTACATGGGTCAGGTTAATAATTAAAGATAAAAAGATTTTGAAATGTACATTTTGTGAACCAAATTAATTAAGGACTTACGTAATCGCCCTCTATTTTTTTAGTTACTAATTTAGCTCTCCTTCTTCTTGTTCTTGTGAGCTGCATTGAATGTACATTTCCAAAGCTCTGCAACTCCCACTCTTTCCATGTCCATGGCAATATCAAGCTATCCCCCTTCTTCTTCTTCTTCTTCTTCTTCCGCTTCACCATCTCTGACCTTTCTCTCTCTCCTCTTCTGCCTCATTTCTTTCCCTTTAGTGCTCTCACAGAATCACGCTCTGCCTCTGCCAAAGCCCATCTATCTCTCTCCTCTTTCTTGATTCGCCCACGTTCACCATCGGGCGAGTTTACCTACACTTGTCCACAAAGCTTCAATCTTTTTGTTCGAGATTTCGCTTAGTTGCTCTCAATTGAGATACCCATTTGGCCCTTTGGTTGATTTTCTCCTCTACAACTGCCAAAACCCAAGAATCCTCTCCCTGTTGGGGTTTTTAGTCTCTGGATTGGTTGTTCTAGATGCTTTTTTTGTGATCTGTTTGTAGACCTTAGGTAGAGAGGTTGCTGTGGTCCAGGGCAATTTTGTCAAACACCCAGTTCTTTTAGTTGGACCATTTTCACCACAGGTTCATGACTATTCTGAGGCTTGTGAGATTGAAAAGAACAGGATTACTTACTACTTACATGGTGATTTTTTTCTCTCTCTGATTGCAAAGCCCTTCTTATTTGACAATTGTTGATTATATGCTACCATTTGGGAGGGCATATATGACATATATCTGTTTAATTAGGGTCTTTGACCTTTTCCCAGATGAAACATTAATGTGTCCCTGAGGATTCTAGCTTGTTTTTCTGTAGTACTCATATTTGATTTTTCCGGAGTTGCTATTATTGGTAGGGAGGAAATTAGGGTTGTTCAGCTTGCCATTGGTGTGTTGGGATGATAGTATGCTTGAAAGTTCTTGTTTTATGTCTGAGAGTTTGTCTGATTGTCCATTTAGACAAGTAAATCAGAAGGATGTGGACCCTTTTGCCATTGCTTTGAAATCAAGTGCATTTATGCTGTTATTCTGTTAATTGCTGTTGGTATTCTCTTCAAGATGACTGTAAATGGACGCTGTTTCGTGGAATGGAAAGAACACTTTGTGTCACAGGAGCGTGGCAACCGTGTGGTCCACTATTTCCTGAAGGATTCAGCTGGGGAATCCATACTTGCGGTTGTGGGCACTGAGAGGAGCCTTAGACACATGTTCTATGTTGTTGCTGAGGAGTTCCTTGAACTTTGTGGATATGACAGTTCCATTCGTGCTGGTTTCAAATGGAGGTCTAGAAGAGAGGTGGTGGATTGGCTGACATCTACGCTGTCAAAGCAGCATCTTCAGGGAGATAGAAATGGTAAATTGATACCTCTTTAGTTCTAACTGGTTCCTATTATTCATTATTTGTTATTGTAGTTTGAGTAAAGGTGCAAAGTAATATAATTATACACCCAAGTGATATAGATTAGTGAACAATGGTATATATATTCATGTAAGACAACACACTTTGACCTTTCCTCTTATAATTCATATCAAATGCGTTCAATTAGCAGTGTATGATGTTTGCTATGGTGTATTTATTGGAGTAGAATGCTTGTATTTTTAATGATATTTTCATTTCTTTGAGCTGTTAAGGGACAAGGTTGTTTTTATGGCTTCTCCTTAGTGCTCTTCCGATGGTTTTATACTTTTTTTTAAGGAGTCTGTCAGTACATATGCCATGGAATTGGAGAGCTCTTTTGAACTGATGAGTTTCTATAATTTAGCTGTATTCTTTCTTATTCTTGTTCTTTAGGAGAATAAATTCTCTGGTTGCACTGTTTATTCTTTCTAATAAAGTTCCCCTATTAATCCCCCCTTCTTGCAAAAAAAAAAAAAAAAAAGCATAAAAATTATGTTGGAAATGGTATCTATGGTCGATATAAATTTATTATTTTATTTTTAACCACAGCATCGCCCAGTCATAATTTGGCACAAGCTCATGAGGCCATAGATAGCAGTATCAATCAAGTTGGTGTTCTGCCGACACAAATAGCAGATGACAAGGTATATTCTTTTTGTTTCTTTTTATTATTATTATTATTATTATTATTTTTTACTTTTTCTTGCTTCCTCTATTTCCCTTATTACTGTTTCTAGTGAATGCCTTTGACATATGTATACACCTCTTTTTCAGGGCCTTCTAATAGGTAACTCCAAAGTGCACGATTCAGACATTGCTTGGTCAGGAGTTGCATGGACATGTGGCAAACAACTTAAGCATTATCCTTCTTTTTGCAGGAATGGGATCAAAATAGCAGTAAGCAACCCTAGTACGAAAAATCAAGGACAAGTAGCCTGATCATTCCCTAGTCCCCCACCCCCACCTTCCTCCCCTACCCAAAAACACATGAATGAAAGTTGGGGAAGAATAAAAAACAAAGGGCATGAAGCGAGATGTGTAGTATTTTTGTTGGATCTCTTATATTTGATAGGGTAGAGTAAGGGAAGACAAGGACCTATTACTTTTAGTTTGAGCAAAGTCAAAATAACTTGTTTTCTAATGAATTATTTCATGGCATGTATTTTAAGAGTTAATGTTGGTAGCAATGTAGACATGAAGGAAGTGAAAACGTTTCCAACACTGACATGAAAATTTCTCAATGATTAAATCGTGTTTGGGAGTGTGTTACACCCTCCCAGAATTGAAATTTTATGGACAAAGTCTGCTTTTCCTGCTATTAATCTGCTTCTCCATTAGGAAAAAATGATTTCAGAAATAAAGGGGCACACCCCTATTAGATTTGTACAATATCAAAATTGTCATAATGTCATTTATCATTTATCACTAAACTGCAATAAAATTAAAATACTGTGTACCCTTTTTTCGTAAATCTGATATCCTCGACAATGCAACCATGCTGCTTACAGCATTTTGAGATGAAATCCCTAAACATTAACCAATATCTGCAAAGTGGATTCCTCTAAAATCAATTATTGTAAATTTATTTTGTTAAAATCAGGAATCTCCCTTCAATATCAATCCGAAATACATGTATTTGCTTGTTGTCATGCTTTGTGGTATGGCTTCATTGGTTCTCCACCCTCCCCAGGCAAAAAAAGTTTTTTTTTTCACCTGACAATAGTACGAAACAGTTATATCTCACATTTGCCTTTTTTCTGATAAATAGGTTCAATCCTTTGTTTTTGTCATGGCCAAGGGAGAGAGTCATTACATTGCCTATTTGGAGGATATGTATGAAGACAAGAGGGGACAAAAAAAGGTTAAAGTGAGGTGGTTTCACCATAATCAGGAAGTCAAGGATGTAACTCTTGTACGAAATCCTGACCCCCAGGAAGTTTTTATCACTCCTTATTCTCAAGTCATTAGTGCAGAGTGTGTTGATGGTCCCGCTACTGTGTTAACTCGTGAGCATTATTTAAAATGCTTACCTGCTTTTTTCCCTACTTCAATGAACAAAATACATTTTTGCTTTAGGCAATTTAGAAGCAATAAAGTGAAGCCCTTTGACTTGAGTAAACTGTGTGGCTACTATGATCAACCAATTCTCTCTTGCTTGCACCATGATTCCTTCCAATATCCTGAATCGAAGGGCAACAGTCTTGCAGAAGATGAGAGTGCCGGTGATGATGTAAAGCTGGGAGCTAAGAGGAACCGAAGTGGTTGGGGATCTCCTCAGTATTGGACTGGTCACCATGGAGTTAGGAAGTTAATTAGAAGTCAGCAAATGATGGTTTACAAAACCTTCCAGAATGTAAATTATGCTAGGCCAGATAGGCGATTACTTTCCCTGAAGCAGGATGATTGTCAACCTTTGTATTACCCCATGTACAAGATTGATGACAAGATAGAGTTTCTCTGTCAAGACAGTGGCATCAGAGGGTGCTGGTTCAGGTGTACAGTTGTGCAGATATCCCGGAAACAAATGAAAGTTCAATATGATGACGTGCAGGATGAAGATGGAAGAGGCAATCTTGAGGTATAAATCAAGCTTTTGAGATAATTCTCAATGTGAATTTCCATAATAGTTAAAGGGGAAGGTTATATTTACAACCTATTTTCGTTTATAATTTCTTACAACCATATCTTAACCATTGATTTCCGTCAATCAACGGTTAAGATTTTCGCAAATCAAATTTATTAATTAATTATTAATTCACAATAAATAACAACCGTTGATTGGCGGAAATCAACGGTTGAGATATGATTGTAAGAGTTTGTAAATTATTTGGGTTGTAAATATAACCCCTAGTAAATCTTAAAGTTATATGCATATAACAGGGTTCCTATTTTTTTATTTTTTTATTAACTAGTAGGTAAACGATATGCTTTTATATTACTCCTTATATGAGTTATAAAAAATTATCACAAGATGATGGACTGATGAACCAACTACATAAATTCTCTTAACAATTCAGGTTTGTTCGGAGTTATCTCCTCAGCCATATTTCTTGCATTCCTCATTGCTTCTGCTTGTTTCTCTTCTAGAAACTAGGAGATTTCAAAATATGTATGAGCAATATTTGTATATTACTTACATAATACTTAGGAGCAATATAGACTAAAAAACTCTTATCTTGATCAACTTATAGGAATGGATTCCTGCTTTCAAATTGGCCATTCCTGATAAAATTGGTATGAGAGATTCTGGCCGGCCAACCATCAGGCCAGCCCCAAATTGTGAGGAACAAGAACTGGCTGTTGCGGTTGGAACTGCAGTTGATGCGTGGTGGAGTGATGGGTGGTGGGAGGGGATTGTTATTGGAATTGATAATTGTGATGAGGATGGTGTGCAAGTCTACTTTCCTGGTATGCTATGTTCATTTTCTCCTCCAAAGCCTTGTTTTCCCTTAAAAATTATTTCATTGTTCTTGGTTTATTGATAGATTTTATTTATTTACTTTTGTGCTTATTCTTTTGTTGCATCAGATGAAGGCTTGCTGATGAAAATGTGTAAGAAGGATCTAAGAATATCAAGAGATTGGTTGGGGGACCGGTGGATGAATATTAAGGCAAAGCCTGATATAACCTCTAGTATATTAGCAGTTAATAGTTTTATAGCTAAACATGTTGACTCTCTTAGTTTTGCTAATTCATGTCATAATGTTCCTGTTGGTATCAAGTCGAATGAACCAGATATGGTTGAAGAGAAACTTGTGTGTTGTGAGGCCTCTGCTGAAGACATGGATTGGGCTTTACAAAAAGGTTTTCAAGTTGATAATATTGAGATACATGACAGTTCTGGTAATGAAGTCCACGGTGATTGTGATGACAAGGATAACAACAATGATGATGATAACAAAGATGTTAGCAATGATGATAGGGATATGGAGGTGTTTGCGACTTCTGGAAACGACTATAAAGCCGCAGAACCAATGGAAGTGGCTGTATAAACATGTTTTAGAACTCATGCATAGATTTATGATGGCGCTGATTGTAAAGCTCTGCCACCATTTCAATGCATTGTTGTAATTTGAGTCCACTAGTATGTTAGAATGTAAATAGTCACACGGGTATGTGGGGGAAGCTAATTGCTTTTTGGTTTCTTTAGTTACCTTCATTAATGTATAGTGTTGAGGGTAGTGTGGGGTTAACTTCTTATCTTCCTGTCGATTGATTGTATTAGACATTGGATTAATTTCATAGTAGGCAATATTATTGAGCAACTTAACTTGTCTGTAGAGTTTCATTTATTTAGAGCTTTGCATAAAAAAACTGATGATAGGAATGATGGGGGGGGGGCTGGGAAGTTATTGGGGTTAGGGTCGTGATGGTGGGTGGGGGAGTTGGAGAGGGCTCATGGGATAAGGAGTGGGGTGAGGAATTGAATTTTTTTAAGATTTATATTTTGTATATTTAAAATATCATAAATAATTGATCACTAGTTTTTTTAATTTAATTTAAAATCAGAATTAAATAACTTGTTTTTTAAATTATTTATCGTAAAGGTTATTATAAAATTTATGCATGAAAATATGTTGGTATCACATTACACATAAAAATACGGGTAATATGTCATTCGACATGAGTATGCCTTTTTTTGTTTATACAGCCTCACTTATTTTTTGTTTCTCTTAATTTTCTTTCCTTCTATTTTCTCTCATGCTTTAAGACAAAGCATTAGGGAAGTGAAATAATACAACAATGAAAATACTTTCTTTGTAATTGTCGCTTCAAGTACGGGTTAATCAACAAAGCAAAAGCACGTTACGATTCATAATCATAAATTATAATGATACATGTTGAATATCTAGGACCCCGTACTAGTCACTTAACGGTTATCACATATGAAACTTACAAGGTGATGTGCAAGTAGGGATGTGTAAGCATAATTTTTTTTTTTCATTTGGTGATGAATACATAAAGATAATAAACAAAGAAATACAATAATGAACAATATATGTCATGTAATTGGTGCGGCCTAATGCTACAGTCTGAGCCATTGTTCTCCATTTATGAACCTCCTATCAAGGAAAGGTCTTGCTTCCACATAACTGAATGACTTTGACCATGGCACCCTACGTCTTCTATCTGCTCCTCTTCCCTTGCACTGATACTCACCAAACACTGCAGTCCTGAAATACCATATATGCTTAGAGATAATCTCAATCTGCACTATGTATTCTATAATAATAATAATGTCAAAAAATTTAGATAAAAAGTAACATCATACTTTTTTCTTTCTGGATGATTCCATTCTGTCCATCCTTCAGGATTAATAATATCATCCATGTTACAATTAGAGTATATTATTCTTGAGTAGTCACCCCATGCTCTTCCTAGGTACACACTTCCAGTTCCTCGAATACTGCATCCTACAAAAGAAAATCCTGTGTCTTGATGTGGTGAATCCCTGTGATGTGCTGCAATTGCTCCATAATTCTCAGCTATTGACTGAAGACGACACTTCTGATCAGTTATAACACCACCCTCTCAAGAGTCAGAATTATTCACAGTCCCCATAAATTGAAATGACTTGGTAACCAGTTATACTTTTAGTAACATAAAAAAAAGGCTCATCTTACCTCATAGAGTGATTTTGCACTGCCAAAGATAAAATCAACTTTTCCTTGTATGTGACATTTATAAAAGTAATGTGTTCCTGTGTTGTCCAAGAGAGTGTCCTGTGTTCCCTTAATCCTAACTCGATAGAACATGGCTCTATTACTGTTTACCCTCAGTGCCACTGCTTGCATTCCATTTCCACCAGGTGCTGCAACTACTGAGTTCTGCAACCACACAAAGAATCACAAATTCCAAATTGCACTTTGTTATTATTCATCTCGTATTTGTGTAGCAAAAACTGTGTCCTTACCTCAAAAGTGACACGAGTTGCACAGAAATAATCTGAGTCTACTGCTACAGTTGCTGAACCATAGGTGCCCAATTCTTGGCCATTTGGACCTCTGTCAGATGACTTACTGTTCCAAGTAATTACAGCACTTGCTGTTTGATTTCTTTTGCCTATAAATGATATATAAGGCTTGGTATTTGGCACAAACACTTTTTCTCTGCATATATATTGCATATAAACAAAGTTAAAAACATAAAAAGTCAAGAATGATGTAAAGGTAAGGATAAAACCATGAGAAGATTCAGAAAATTTGAGAAACCAAATATAACTGCTGGATCAAAGACCAACAGCTCCGTTACCCCAAAAAACAAGAATGTATGTTTTCAAAATGAGAATTAAGGCAAAGAATGAAAACAACTCCTTTAAAAAAAAAAAAAACAACTGCTTCTGATTAGAACTGAATAAATTACACAAATGGTGGTGGAGGTAAAAGAAAATTCTAATTGAGAAAAAAAAAATAAACGAAATTACTGACCTGTAAATTCCTGGATATATGTATATTTTTACCCTTTGTTTGTTCTGATTTGGAACCATATCCACGGCTCCTTGAACAGTTTTGGAATGTCCCCTACCATGTTGGTCAACCATGATAACTCGAACCTCGTTATTGGACTTCAAGGCCAAACTTTGCTCATCCACCTGCAAATCTTCCCAACTAATGAAATTCCTAACACCTCCATTGCCATAGCCATTACCACCTTCTGCTAAATCCACGTGAACCCACATCAGGAAAACCAAAAGAAACAAGACAAAAACTCTAGAACTCAACCCCATCATCATTGTTTGAAAACTCAGCATGAAGGGCCTAGGTGTTAAACTGTTAAATTTGGCAAATATAGGACCAAAGTGAGAACAAGAAACTCCAATGAGAAAAAAACAAGCTTGTTTATGAGATAATGGAGTAACGGTTTTCAGAGTTGAAGCAAGGAGTAGCTGATAGCAATAAATAAGCGAGCGTTATGGTTATATGACTGTTCCAATCCTGGTAAGGCTTGCATGTTGTTATTATTATCAAATATAAAGAGGGAAGACTTTCACAATAGAAGTAAGGAATGGAAATTAAACAAACATGGGTTTGTTTTTGAGTTTAATTGAAGGAACATAAAGAGACCTTGTCTCAAACATTAAATGAATGAGACTCTGCCAAATGCAGTAGAAAGAGTGTTTTATTTTTAAACTTGATCACATATAAGAGGAGACGGTTGGTCACGTAGTATTTTAGAAAGGATGAACTCAGCAACAAGAAGAGCGGTTGTAGATTCATGGGGTGCAGACATTGGTGCAACTGCCCCCCACTATGATAGTCTTGGATCTTTCTCTGTGGCTTTCAATTTTTTTTATATTATTTTTTTAATTTCTCCTTTAAAAATGATAAACCACCAAATTAACTGTCACCATTTGTTCATATTTTTTTTAGCACAAAATTAACATGTTTGAATTAATATTATGTATAATTACTCTGTTGCAACATATAAATTACTGATGGGATTTTGGAACTATGTTGAATGGTTAGTTTTTGTCCTGACATGTATATAGATATATATAAAAAAAGAGCTGGATTTTGGAAGTTATGGTTCAGCTACTAATACTAAAGTGAATAGGTAAGTGTTTAACGTTGAGAAATCATTATTACTAAGAAAGCAAGAATGATTTTGGTCTCTCCTGAACTCTTGTAAGGACAGTGACAAAGCGACACATATTGCAAATTGCAATACTGTTTTGTATGCTATGAGATGATTATATCAAATACGTAAAATGCAAGTGTAAATATTGTATCAACATAACAAGAGCAGTTAAAGTTAAAGCCGTTCCTTTAAGATGCCTTAGAAAACAAAGCAAAGGTATAAACTTAAGATGGCTGGGTTTAAAGTATATATCAATAAATGCAGCTATCATATAATCATAGAGCATAGCAGTTACAATATCTTATATATATGTACCAATGCACATGAATTGATTATTACCTTTGCATATTCCTTCAGTTTTACTATACCAAATCATTTCAAACTCTCCCTTTGCTAGAGTCAGTGGCTATTTAAGGTTAAAACTTAAAACAATTAATAGGATGCACTCATGAGTCATGAGTGGCACGATATCCTCTCCTTGTATAATAATAACATACATACACATGGCTTCCATCACCCGTTATTGGCAATTGTTGGTTAGGCTCATATGTTGATTTATATCAACGTGCTCAGTTTAGTTGGTTGTCCACAGTTTCACGTAACAAAAATAGCAGGGAGAAGTTTTTTTTTTTTTTTTTTCCAGTTAAAAATTCTTGGCATTGGCATAATAATCCCATCTCTATAAGTTAGTCATAACTTATTTTTTATTTTATTTTATTCATTCTTATACATTAAATTTAAATATACTTACTTGAGAGTAATGTAATATCTTAATTTATACTCATTCAAAGAATGACATATATTACTTTTAATATATTTTCATTCAAATTTAAAATTTAAAATATTTGAATTAATTATGCATATCTTCTTTATAATTTTAATTTTAATTTTATTTATTTATATTTTATTTAAATTTAAAAATATTCATATAACATACCAATAATTGTTAATTGAGAAATTTTCACTTTCACACATGGTTTATCGCTTAACTTCTTATGATTTTAAATTTATCACATATATTGTCATTGTAGTTATGAAAGAAAGGGTCACTTAGACCCTTGCGCATCATTTAATAAGTTTTCTTGGAAAAAAATTTATATTTATATTTTATTTAAATTTAAAAATATTCATGTAATACAGGAATACTTGGTTTTTTTTTTTCTGGTACAAGGAAGTGGGCTTTTTCACCCTTTTGTCCCTTATTAATTAATTAATAATCATTTTGTCCCTGATTCGAAACTATTTATCAATATGTCCCTCTTTAATTGACTACCTTGCATTTCTAATCGACTAAATGGCCAAAACAAACAAAAATGGTTGTTGGGAGATTTAATCGACTAAATCTCCCTATTTAGTCGACTAAATCTCCCAACAGACAACAAAGGAAAACAAGTCAGTATGATTTTTTAATCGATTAAGTAGGTAGATTTAGTCGATTAAATCTCCCAACAACCATTTAGTCGATTAAAAATGCAAGGTAGTCGATTAAAGAGGGACAGATTGGTAGATAGTTTAGAATCAGAAGCAAAATAATTATTAATTAATTAATGAGAAGTAAAATGGTCAAATAGCCCAAGGAAGTGGCACAGCCCCAAACAGAAATACTTGTTAATTTATAAAGAATTGAACCAACTATCTATTAATTTTAAATTTTAACCTCAGTCAAACCTTTTAATTAATCCTACTTACCAAATGTACATGACATTTTATTAATGTTATATTGTAAAAGTAAATTTTTATTCTGTCTTATTTGATGATCTTCAACAAGTTACATATAAAATGGTTGATTTTGATTTTATTTTTTCTGTTAGTTTTATGTTGCTTCAAGAATGCATAGAATATCTAATTCTTCATTCTAAGAACAAGAAGGGTACTCGTGATGAGGGATTTTTAAAAATAATTATATGTGGGTATTTGATTTTGCGGTTTTTATGAATTAAATTAAAGATTGAGCAAAATTGAGTAAAAACACAGCCATATATTTATAAAGGGTTTGATGTTTGTCATTTTAAGAGAGAGAGATAGACACAAAAAATAAAAATCATGGGAGAGAGAAGAGCTGTAACTTTATGTCATTTTAAGAGTTTGATGTTTGTCTCTCTTAAAATGACATAACTTAATGTCATTTAGATAAACTTTGATATTCGACTGTATGTATTCTCATTCCATCGAATTGCTTTAATAGGGTTACAAAACAAGGAGCCAAGAGCTGTAACGACTAACCTAGCTATTTAGGTAACAAAATAACTTAATAGCAAACAACTAAGCTATCCTATCGTAACAGTAAACAAATATACAACTAAGTTAGGGATAGGATATTGTGACACCCAAGTTATGTTACACCCATGTGACACCCAGTCAATCTCACCGTTAGATCGCTTATGTTGATCCAATGGTTATATTTATTTCCATCTTTGTATGGTTATGATTTCCCAAATTTAATATTTTATATTTATTTCTACCTTTGTATGGTTATGATTTCTCATATTTAATGCTTTCACTTTAAATTTGGGAAATCATAACCATACAAAGATGGAAATAAATATAACCGTTGGATCAACATAAGCGATCTAACGGTGAGATTGACTGGGTGTCACATGAGTGTAACATAACTTGGGTGTCAGAATATCCTATCCCACTAAGTTATCCTATCGTAACAAACAGCAACAGGAATAAATGCTACCTAATATTAAATACAAATAAACAATATTAATTAATATGTACGGGGGAGTTATCAATAAAACTGGAAAAACCAAATGCAAAGCTTGAAAAAATGATAACCTCATCTTATTAGCCATTCCTCCTCTAGAACACACTCGAGTTATGTGAGTTAAATCTAGCCTCTCACACAAGTTAATGCTACAAAGGAACGTAAGATAAATCAATATGTACGGGGGAGTTATCCAATCCTGGAGGAAGGACTTCAATTTCATGAAGTGAGAGATAATGGTACTCAAAGAATGGGAATTCAAAGATGAAAATTATGTTTATTTGAAGGGATTCCAGATTTACGTTTAATAAGAAAATCATAAAATGAAAAATAAAGAGTGATGTTGTTGAAGTTATAAAAGAACATAGCAACTAGAAGAGCTGTTGTAGCTTCATAGGGCATACAAAAGCATTGGATGCAATAAAGATTCTCTTTTTTTTTTCTTTTTCTTTTTTTACGTTTACAATTTCTATTAATTAATTAGGATTAAATATGATCCCAATGTACATAGCATTTCGTTTTACGACATGTCATGGGCCTAAATCTTGGTCCGTCTTTGACCTAACTTGGTTTGACGTGTTTTGAAAACAGTATAAGCCTGAATTCATTAAAAGACTTATTTAAAAATCAAATCACAAGTTTATTTTAGTATGCCTGACCTTTAAACTTTCATAATCAACTCGTATTATTTAATAAATAATATTTTCTTTTCTTTTTAAAGTAATATCTTATTAATTTTTAATAAAAAAATATCTTGTTATCTTTCAATAAAAGAATATATCGTTATTTATCTTGTTACTTCTTAATATAATAAAATAAAATTTTGTGATATTTTAAATTTTTAAATTTTTGACAATCTTTTATCTTCTTGCTTGCAAATGCATTTTTTCTTAACTCTAAATTTCTTTGTCGGCATCGCTCTTTTTACCTGTGGATGTTGTATGCTTTTTGTTCTTATTTGTTTGGCATGTGTTTATATTTTTCTTTTATTATTATTTTTGTTTTTCTTTATTTATTTAATTATTTTTTATTAGGAATTTCCCACATAAATTGGTTGGTTAGTGGATATCTTTAGCGTTGAGTTGCATCATCAATGTTCTTCTTGCATGATTTGTCTAAATAAATTTTGAATTGTAACACACTTATTATTTTAAAAGTTGATTTTCAAATATATTTGTATTTACTAATCTAATTTGATTGATTTTTATTTTTTAATTGTTGCTTCTTTTATATTTTAAATATCATGATTGTTTATTATTAAAAAATATTTTTGTGCTCATTATATATATATGTATACACACACACGTGTATGTGCGTGTGCGCGAGTATAAACTTTTAATTTATTTTAAATTAAATTAAAATTAATTTTATAATTAAAAAATCAATATAATTTGATTCAATTATTTTTAATTTTTAACAACATAGTTAAATTATCAATA